GGAGCGGGACGGCCTGCTGGAACACGCACCACCTGCAGCAGCCGCTCGACCGGGTGAACCAGGCACAGAACAACGTAAGGGTCCTCTAAGGGACTGTACGATATTTACCGGGGGGGAGGGCCGGTCGTCTGAGGGGGGAGGGCCTAGGAAAAAAAATTTGAGCCAGGGGGAGGGCCTAGGAAAAAATATTTTAATTTGGGGGAGGGCCTAGGTAAAAAATTTTTCCAAGATCCCTTCAACTCTACAACGTTTTTATACACTTTCAAAACAAGATTAACGTCTGTCCCATACATATCGTAGCGATTTGCCGGTCATTGGAATCGGCAGAATTTTACGTTTCAATAATATCCATCCCTATTATTATAAATGTATTCGCCCAAATCTCCCACAGTCCTCTTCAAAATCTTGCATTTTCGCCAGAATCGACAAAACTGGACTACGCAGCCAAATTACATGGATTCAGTGACAAAGTCATGTCAATCGCGGCTCTCGAAACGATACCGATCAAAAATGTAGGGAAGGCTTGTCGGAAGATTTTGAAAATCAATTTTCGCCGTTCAACGCACCCTTTCCAGTGGTGTGCGTGCGTCGGCAGAGGTGACCCGCTGGTCCCGCCTCGCAACTCGCTCAAACTTCTCGGCGTGGATGTCGGATGCCGACGGATTAATTTGGTATTTTTTTAAACCAAGGACTATTTTAACATTTATATTTATGTCCCTCCAAATTTAATTGAAAACAACACGTAACTTGGCAATATTGTTTCCCTGTTTGTAATAAAATTGCCGTGGAAGAAGTTCGTGAACGAAAGGTAGGCTAGATTTATTTCGATTACACTGACTGACCGTAACGTTACTGACTTTAATAGCTCGAGGTACCAGCGAAATTTGTGCTGCCAAATTTGCCCCTCGACATGCAAAACATGGGTTGAAATTCAAAATTTTTCCGGGGGACATGCCCCCCCCCGCCCAAAAGCCGGGCCTAATCGGGCTCTTGTGGTGCCTGCTCGCGCTGAATGCGGGGAAAATTTTCAATCAAAATCTCGTCCTCCCCATACGAAATTTCACTCTCTATGATTCACGCCTGGGGGAGGGCCTAGGAAAAATTTTTTGAGGCGGGGGAGGGCCTAGGAAAAATTTTTTTGACCTGGGGGGAGGGCCTAGGAAAAAAATTTTTACGCTACCCCCGGACGACCGGCCCCCCTCCCCGGTAAATATCGTACAGTCCCTTAGTGTTCTCTTTTATGTACAGGACCTTTGGGAAGACCAAAAGCTATGAATAGAACTGTAACAGTTCCAGTATTTGATGTGTGTGCTCTGCATGTACATGTAGGCAGCACACTGACATGTACCGGGGCTATTTGCATAGAAATGTCTGTGATATATAGGCGACCCTTCGATCCACATTAGTCTGACAGGATCTGAGGTGAATTTGTAATAGAAATTTGCACTGAAGATGTGAACAGAATATAAGTTAGTACTCTCAGAGTAGTCACAACCAGAGGATGCATGGCAGAAGGGTTTGGGAAATGTAAAGTGATGAATATTTGAAATTCACTGATCATCCAAACTTTGGTTCACACCGTTTTGAACCTATTTAGAAAATTGGGAAACTTCTGTATGATTGTGTTTGTTAGCCTGGTAAACTAAGCTCCAAGGTTCCTGTCATTCTACCTGTCAATGTTCCCAGTGCTTTCAACCTACTCTGGGTGGACAGACACACAAACCTACAACTCAGTCACTCAGAACAATGCAATTGTGTATCCAGAGGTAAAAATGTAATACAATGTGTTATTAAAAAATTCATAATTTTTCATATCATATCATATCATATCATATCATATCATATCATATCATATCAATAAATGTCTGTTAAACCTGGTGCATTAAATTCTGGACAGGACCTCTGCTACGCGGGTAATACCTTTAGAATGGTAATGCACAGTTAGTGTACTAAGAGCACACCAATCCAAATCAACAGCTAGAATGATTGCTTAAATGGAAGTGCATGCTGTCCTTGGTGCTGAAGGGCAATCAAATCGGACCTGGAAGAACTGAGTCCACTCAACGCCTCAACTTTCTGAGTCAGGAGATGCCCTGGCATTAATTCACTGTGACCTCTTCCTAACTAGGTTATGTTTATCCAGAATAGATCTGTGAACTATTATAATTGCTTTGGCTAGGTTCCTTCTTGGCTATTAAAGATAAAGGTGTGGAAGTCACTGATAAGTATATCACAGGAAGTGAGATCTTAAACCCTGGACCTGTTCTCTCTGTTTTGGTGGAAATAGTGTTCACATACTGGTACAGTAACCATGAAAATCACTTAGGTGCAGGTCTGAAATACTGAGACATCAATATACCAGTACTGTACCTGAATAAACTTATAGTCAAGTATAAGAGTTTGTCACTCCCTGAAGGCCTGAACCATAGAGGTCATTGCTCACAACTAATTTCCAACCATGGCATGGAGAAGGTTGGATTAGGCCATGGTTGGCGATGTGTGACGGGGGCTTTACCAAATGTAACAGAAAGCTTTTTAGTTGAATCCCTTGCAGCCCTTTATGCAGAACCTGAGGCTTACATACTAGATCCGTCAGACTTAAGTAGCACACCTAATGTACACTTTATCATGTTAAAGTGTACTAGAATGACTCTACAGAGTAGTTGAACGTGACATCCAAGTGTCTCTTCAGGCTTTTAGCATCCTGCAATTCACCAAAATGGACAACCACTTGGTGACAACCCAACTCACTTAATGCAGCCATTTGAAGGGAAAGGGTGTGCACTTGGGTACAAAATGTGAACGACCGACTTGTGCAAGTACATGTACATGTGATATACATGGTGATCTTATGATCCCAAAGAAAGTATACCTCCCTTACCTTAATCGTCACTGAACTTCACTGAAGAAGATTTCTCATGCAAACATAATGCACTGTCATGCCACTATGATTTCTTGTATTTTTATTATATACAAAAAAACATGTAGATGTATATAATTAGTAGTGTCATTGGAGATCTCACTCTCTGAAGTGTAACCTATTGATTATTTATGGGTATCAAATGGAGATGTGTAAAATGTTGAATGTAACAGTTGTGATGTATAAATGACTTCCTTGCCTGTCCTTAGATGATGTCGGCATATGATGTGCTGGGGCTGTGTCTGCTGGAGTGCAGTGCAGAGTCTGCAGGGTTTCTGGAATGGGGACAGGAGAAGGTAATTATGTGATCTACATGTATGTTTGTGTCTTTATTTATGAAATACTCAAATCAGCCTGCTGTCTACCTTTCATTGAGGTCATGAGGAAAAAGGTCAGAGTCAGACAAAATATAACATGAGGAAGGCTAAGTAGTACATAATTGAAGTCCTAACAAATCCAGAAACATACAGTAAGTTTTGTAATATGTATTCATTCAATTCAGTGGCAATTCAGTGCTCACTATATGTGTGCTTCAAAGCTTTGAAGACTTGGAAGAGGAAATAAACCAGTCTACATGTACAATGTACTACATACAGGATAGTCAAAGGCAAAGAACTGCTCTGTCATAAAGATTATTTTTGAAGAAGGGTAAAAGACTATTAGTAAATGGAAAAAAAATGAGACAACAGCATGTCACTCTTGTATTGAAGTATAAAATTTAATTATTGTTCCATGTTTTTCCTGTCATTTTGTGACCATCTGTCAGTCACGTTGCAACTATGTGCAGCTCCCCCTCCTCCTCCCCACCCTGCCTCGCTTGCTCTTGGTGGTGATGTGGTATGGTGTCATCGTTGGTGTTATTGTGCCGTAAGGCCAGACAAAGTCAGCTCTGCAGTCCTCATTATTTACAGTTCAAAGCTAAAAGAAATGTGTACAAAATAAGAACAGTTTTCAGGACATAAAAATCTCAAATGCAAATTGAATCAAGCAACTGGATAAATTTTCTGAGGAGTCATCTAAACAGAACTTATCCAGTTGATGATTTATTTTTTGTTACGTAATGTTCTACCTGGATGTTTAACCTTCATTGACATGGGAAAATCTATATTTTTAAATTAAAATTCGATTAAAACTTGTTTTATATTTTCAAATTAAAATCTGTTTTATATTTTCAAATCAAAATTTGAGACTTTCTTGCCATTCATCAAATTGTCTTTGTTATTTGGTTCTGTTTAAGCTACATGTATTCAGAAACACATAGCTTGTGACTAGATTGAATTTCAATGCAGGAAGGAAGAATTTCAGGGGACTGAAGTTGGTCCTTAAATCATTTTAAAGTCCACTTTGTCTGGCCTCAGTATCCTCACATTGGTGTCAAATGACTCAAAGGAACATGTTGAAAGTCAGAATTTCTCAATGAGAAAAAAATAATGATGACTCCATACAGCAACACTAACATTTTTATGGGTTTTGCTTCACGCTTACCCTTTTAATTTGTCAAAAAGTAAGTACACTGTTTCCTGCACTTTAACCAGAACATTGTCGAGGGCTGATCATGATTGAAGAAGTACAGTAACCGCTGTGTTGTACCGGCTACGGTAACTTCATTTACTTTTACTGTGGTTTCAATGCATACAAGGCATATCAAATAGTGTACCAGTCTTCCAGTACTAAGTCAATTGCAGCATCACTCTGGTACTGTAACTGTAACTGTACTGTACTCCTCACCAATACGTACATGTATAAGGCCTCCACTAGGCAGCATCATTGTCTGATTACTGAGCAACTGAAATTGAATTTGTGTGACCCTTGATTTTATGATTGGAATATCATGCACAATGTTTCAAAGATCGGGTAGAAAACACACAAAATGTTTAAAAAGTTGTTGTTCATCTATGAAATTCATTGAGTGATTACATCAAAATCTGTGGTGGCTCAGCAGTCGGCTTCTAGAGGAAAGAGAGCGTAAATGAGAATGTCAGTTGATATCAAACATGCTACAAATTTCAAGACGACAGCTTTTATTAGTTGACAGCTGTTTGATTTGTATATTATTATTTTTTGTCTCCAGATTGCATCTCTACAGCTGAACATGAAGGGAATGAACCCGACCAGTGAGAGTTACCTGATCTGGCACCACTATGGAAACGTAAGTCATGTCTGCTCATGACAATGCCCCTACCAGTAGGTTCCAATGCCCCTACATGTACGTTGTATGTTCAGACACCCCTATGTCCTGATGTAGTGCTATTACTACTAGTATTAGGGATGTAGGAACTATGAAAAAAATACAATACATTTTCTAAGTTATCTACCTGGGACAAATGAAAAGTTTACAGTGATACCCATATGTAGCCTGGTTACCAAACCTATTATAGCTCCCGAGTTCTACATCTTCTCCGCAAATAGAGGATGTAGGACTCAGGAGCTATAATAGGTTTGGTAACCAGGCTAAGCCATATGTTCTGACACCCCTATGTTCCGACATACATGTTTTTGTAGGGGTAGGATTCTTGGAACATATTAGCTTGATTTGTCAGAACATAGGGGTGTAGCCCAGTTCAGAACCATTTTCTATTGCATGTCCCATGATGGCAGACTCTGAGATCAAGTCAAAGAAACAATGATTATTGTTACTTTAATTGCTGATCATTTGATTTGTGTACCAAAATGTGGCATATTTCCCAGTTTGTATTACAGGTATTTATCTTGTAATTCCCTATTTCATGTCATCTCACAAGTATGAAATGTGCTACTAACCAACAATGTTACTTTCTTTTTCTGGTTAAAATGAAAGTATTGTGTTGTCTACGTAAACTTAGAAATGTTATTATGCAAGCACACACCTTATAATAGCTAGAGGAAATCATACGAAAACTTTAACATCCTGGCACATACAATGTACTATGATCTTAAAGACTACTCATCTGGCTGTCTGCATTCTAATGATGTGATGCTGTGTAATCAATGTTCTACTTTCACTTTCCATCCTCATTTCATCACATGTAACTTTCACTATCAGAATAATTTTGCACAGTGTTGATTTTCTGAAGTAAAGGTTATATTTGGGATCATTTTTAAGTGTGTCATTTGAAACAAAGTTTTATTCCATGTATCACTGCTGTGAAAAATGTTGCTAGTGTAGCTGTCCAATAATTATCTTTAAATTAGAATGTATCAAATTATACAGTTACTGTAACAAAAGTAAACATTCATGTCATAGACATTAGCTGCTATTGCTGATTTTTACTCTAAAAATCCAGCCAGGAACAAGCTCATATTGTATATTGTTAACATCAAATTCAATACATTAATGAACAAACACCTGAATCATGGTTCCGTCAGGTTCATGAAAAAAAATGAAGTGCAAGGTCATGTTCCCCTTTACTTTGGAAAGTTGGACTTGTGCCTACTTTGTGCTGTCATGTTGTGGTGTGTTGTACTTGTGTCTCCATTGTGAGTTTTCCTTTTGTTATATCACGCTAACAAAACTGGATCAGGACTTGGGCAAGGTAACACTACGGGTCTACATGTAGCATGTGGATTGGGAGTTCCTGCATGTTTATAGCACCATGTCCACCAGAGGCTGTAACTGATGAGCGACCAAATATTTGAAAGATCGTGCAATGAATTTCATAGAAAAAGAACTACAATTTTCCTTTGTCTCTCTTAGTTGTCTTTTAAATCACAGTTTTGCATCATATTTTGCATCATGTTCTAATCATAAAATCAAGAGGGTCATACAAAGCCAATTTTGGTCTCTCAACAGTTGCTCTCAGTGATCTACATCTAGTGGAAATGGGGAACTAATGTAGTGTTGCAGCAAAGTTGATAGGGTAAATGTAGTGTTGTGCTGCACTGTGCTTGAAGAATAACATCACATTTTTTAAAAATGAAAATGAGGCTATTTGTTCCAGGGTTGAGGTTATGGCAAATGAAATTTAATTGTGTACTTGAAAAGATAGAGCATTAGAAATTCAAAAGGTTTAAGATTTATAAAGACACAACCTGCCATCTAAAGATAAAAGTTTCCTCTCATGTTCAAACAGAGTGCAGTGAGTAGTTATAACTGTCTGCTGATTTTCTGTTACATATAATGTAAAATTAGTATCAAACAAAAAAGATGGTTCTTACTGTAATAATTGACTATATGGTGCTGATTTCATTGTTGAACATTTTAGGAATTTAAGACATGCAACTCCCTCAATAGTGGTGTGTCATGTTTTCTCATGTTATGAGAAAGTCAGAAATGTGATGTGCCAGCTGGAGTCACTGTCTGATGCAAGAAAATCCATTGATACGGAAATGACAATGAAAATTCTACAGCTGTAGTTGTTTTACAGTTTCTAAGTTGAACATCAAATTTATTTTCTTCCGTTTAATCCTTTGCCCTTCAACAATTACAGCACCTTTGTTTAATCTCAGAGCTGTATGGTTCCTTATCTCATTTCTGTTGAGTTTCTGTGTTTGTCATATGCTTTCTTGATATGTTGCTTTCTTTCCTTTCTCTGTGTATGTGGGGTTTTCTTTGGGTACGTAGGCAAAGAAGGACAAGCTGAGTGAGGTGCGAGGGTTTAGTGATCGCCTTTACTCCTCCTTCAACCACCAAAACCTTGCTCGTTTTGTGAATCGCTACATGAAGTAAGTATGACTGAGGATCATACATGTCCTGCTCCATGTCTGCGCACCAAGGCTGGATGCATGGGTCTGTCTTTAAGGGAGGAACAAAGGGCCAGGAATCTTTTCCAAAATACATTTTAGATTCGAAACAACTTTTTGCAAGGTACCTGTTCCTAACCCAATAAGCAATTAGATTGGGAAGAGTTCTGTAATTCTACCTATTTGCTTTCAACTTTCATATTGCTTCATGTACAAGAGTAGAACAAAGTGAATGTAACAAGTAACTCTGACCAGAAAGAATTCCTGTAATTTTTAAGATTGGCATAATAAATAGAGAACAAATTTTCTGTTTTCTTGGGACATTTTTCTTATGTCATTTTTGGGCAATTCATGTCAAGATCCAGGTTTTAGAACTAAAACAGTTTACTTTTAACAAAAACACTTGTTGCACGTCAGAGATTTTTGCTGTACAGAAAACATCTTTTGTACCTCCCTTTTGAGAGAGACCAGCTGAATGACTAACCCTGTGCACGTCGCACGTGTAGACCTCACGACTGTTGTTCCCGGACAGGCTAAGCATCACAAGCTCAAAGAGGTGCATGCCTTCCACGACAACCTGTACAAGACCATGAACCCCCATAACCTGGCCTGCTTTGTAGAGACTTACATGGCGTGAGTAGCTGAACAGAGGCTGTAGATGTTAGGAACATTCCCTGTCTGGCATAGAAATCCAACTTCTAGAAAAAAACATGCTACTAGGTATTGACTATTTCTCATAGGTTTCCTGCAGCTGTAATAAGCTGCTGCTGGTTCACGGTTTGAACTGCAAGGTGAAATGTGAAGGCCCCAAAAGGCCTCCATGGTTTGGAGCAGTTCAAACCATGAACCGGCTTTAAATAATGTCACAAGTCTATCATCAAATTTTGCTGTCTATCAATGCCAGCCGTGGGAATGCTCCTGTTGTTTTTGATACAGTGTCAAAACTGGTCATGTGTGATGACAATAATTTGCTGAGTGTGCATTTTACTTTCAGCTGTGCTGTGTTGATGTAATTAGTGTTCTTGTTGTTTTATCCGTTTCGATGTTACAAGCTAACAATTACTAACAAGAGGCATTGGTCAATTGTTTTAAGGGAGGTTTAAGATGTGTTTCCCAAGTGATGAAATATATACCTATCTTTTCATGTCCATCTCTGCATTTCTTGGTTAATTATTTGACATAGTCAGTTTGACATATTAATGGAGTTTGAAATGCCATCTTAATTTTGATACTTATAAATTAATGCTTTAAATGGAATTTCAATGAACTGTGTACATTTATTTTTAAACATTTCTGTATTATACAGTACTATAGGGTGCTACGAATTAGCATCTACTACAGCTGCTAATCAAGATTTAATGTTGTATGTGACAGACCTTTTCAATCAAGTGTGCCACTATTAATATTCAACAAAAATTTTACAATTCTTATCATATGCCATATTTTGTTTTCAGCCGTACCAACTTCATTGACAAGTTGAAGACAATGAAGTAAGTGAATATGACAGTTTGTAACTTTGTATGGTTGAAATCTAAATATTGTACTGCTTTTAGTCAGTGCTGTTATTATTTCAGTACAAACATGGTTTGACAGATTGTTGTTGTTGTAGGTGTCGTGTGCTGATGGTGACTGGCAGCAGGTCAGCCCATGTGAGGGATGTGGTAAGTACCGTCCTGCAGTATTCATACGAAGCTTATTTGGCACAACAAAAAGTACAGCGACTCTTCTAAGGTCAGCTGACCCAACTTCATGGTGTGCCAAGCATGTGCCAATAATTACTGGAGAACATTTCCCGGCAAACAGACATACTGAAAACAAAACCTGTTCATGGAGGTCAAAATGTAAGCATGGAAAGCACACTTGAATGGATGACCACCACAGTTTCAGCACCACGGAGAAGGCTATCTTGCTTTTACAAAGTATTACATGTACTACTGCTGCTATATTCCAGGAGAGGACATACACTGCAATGGACCGTCAAAACAGCGAGATCCTAAAGCTGGATGGAGGTGATGTCATGGATGACAACGTAAGTTTTCACTGAAATCTAAAGGCATCACCTAATTCATAGTGAATGCTATCTGAAACTCTTCAGAGAAGGTGTAAAAACATCAGAGGTTGGTAGTGATTGATTTTGTGCAATGCACACAGTGACATTAATTTTATTTACTTCCTTTTTCAGCCTGAGAAGCTGGCAGAAAGTATGCTATTCTTCCTGCAAGGCCTGGGACTGGGTAGGTTTTCTCCACACAAAATAAAACAAGATAAACTTTTCATATGTAGTAAAATATTAACTTTCATCAGTTTTGCTGGTTTCATTAAATTAACTCAGTAGTAGACAAGCTCTTGATTTTTTCACTTATCAGTTGATACATTATTGCTTAGTTAGTTTAGGATAGTTTTACTTTCAATGAATGTCTGAGAGACCCAGAGAATTATTCAGCAATTTCGATGCAGAGTTTGACGCTGTAAACTTGAACCTTTTTCCAACAGTTTTGCTGTGCACTCCCCTTTTCCTCACACAATGTAACAAGCCTCTCACAGCTTTAATTTGCTTGCTGTAGAATTAGATACCGGTAGCACAGTTTGCTGAGTTGCACTTACTGTAAATCATGAAACTTTAATAGTGGTTTTATTTCTGCTATTTATTAGAATATGTCTCCCCTGTATGACTACCACAGAATTGTTTCAACCACAAATCTAAAACACAGCAAAAATTCCCTTTAATCGCAAAATAAAACCACTGAAAAGTAACTGAATTTACAGTTTTCTTCTAGGATTGGATTGTTTCCCTTCTGTAATGCATGACCCATATTTTGTGTTGTTCCCCTTGGCAGTTGCATCTGTGGTGTCGCGGAAAATGTCCCGTGGTAGCTCCTTCTCACGAGACTCCCAGTAAACACTTTGCCTTTATGAGGGAGTTACACGGGGCCAGCTGCTGATCATGACTAACCACTGCATGTGGTGTGCATGCCGTAGGCATGGTGTCATAATGGAACACATCTGATCAATCCTCTCACTGCTGTAGCCAACACCACTGTGGGTGTGTGTCTGTGTGCCATCAGTAGTGAGAAGGTTGAAACAGATCTTTTTTAAATACTTGATGCTTTTAACTGAATGATTTACACTCCTATTTTTACTATATATTAATCATAATACTACCAATATCCCACTGGTGTGCTTTCTTTCCCTAGAAACGTTCTAACAGAACAGGATTTAGTATATATCATATGTCATTTCAATTCACTGAATCAGATTAGCATTTGTACCAAGTCTTGTGTTTGACAAAAGATGTAAAGACTAGCCAACTGCTACCCACCCTTGTCCAGGACACCCATTAGTTTACCCCTATAGCAGTATAATCAAATACTAAATACTACTACCACTTACATGTAATCATTTCTATCATAGAATGTTATCCTTATGAAAAGACAGACATGCCAATGTGAAATCTTATGGAACAATTTTTTCCTGACACACTAAGCCACTGAAAATGAAAAATAATCCAACCAAAGGCTTACTTCTTGCCACTTGCAAGTTATAGCTGTTTCTTATTCCTTGTTACACTATCAGAAAAGGCATATTATTGTTGAAAATTGGTTATGGCAGGTGGTAGATGTCTTTTTAAATGATATATACTATACAATATAAAACATAATTGAAAATCAGCCATTGATTTGATGCTTACCTCAGTGTTTTACTTTCTCTCCCCCTCCTCACTCCTGTAACCAGTTTCGTCTGTCCGCTCCAAGAAGATGTCACGAGGAACATCTCTGTCGGGCACAGATGCATAAATCTGGAAACTGTGCTCTTCAGTTGTCGTAAGTGCCTCGTGCACTGTATGAAAAGACTGTAAGATGCTTTTTTTAGGGGCACTTTGAACACATGTCCGGTATTGTCTGATCAAGCTTTAGGAGAAGTTTAGGGAAAGTGCCGTTGGTAGAGGAATAGAAGAAGTAGTACAAGACTGTCAGTGTGCAGCATTTTCAAGTCCATTTTGTGCATTTTTGGAAGATTTTCAAACAAAGTTTTGCACTTTTGTCTCTTGACTTGCTGGCTGTATATCCAAGAAATTCGAAAATCACTGTCAAGGTCAACTACAAAATAGACAAAAACTTCTGAATCAAAGGCTATTTTGTAATTTTTCTGGGGATTTTTTGGGAAATCTGTTGACAAGAAGCTACACTTCTCTTTCATGAACTTTATAGAACATTTTAAAAGCAAAATTTTCTTTTATAGCCAATGATCACACTTGTTAGAATCTCTTCTTTTTTTCTGCAATTTTGATGGGCTCATCCATACATTACACATACAGAGATGGTTTAACAACTCTGTCCATTCCTGAATATAATGGAATTGTTAAAATTCTGCACACGTTAACAGAGTTGACCCTTAGCATGTACACCTATAGGCATAGGCAACCAAGAGAGATGACATCTACAGCTTTTGTCAGTAGGCAATCAAGCAGAACTACCAATGAGATTAGGAGCAATGAACAGCAATGAAGAACAAAGTCGCCCTTGGAAGTATTGTTCTTAAGCCTTACTGATGGTGTAAACACTTCAATATGATCAAACTCAATACACAAGTGTAGCACAAGTAGCGACGCAAAAGCTGCATGGTCATTTTTGTGCAATCCACGTTACATGCAAAATTGCTGCCAAAGTGCATGTAGTATATTAATTGGCAAAGAAGTTACACATGCTGGCTAAGTCTTTGTGCTTGTGAAAGATTAAGATTGTTAAGTTTAGCCAAGAAGAGAAAAAAAATGAGTCCTGGAACTGCTTTGTAGTTTGTAAGTGAAGTCTTACAACAGTCATATATCTAGTTAAAGGCTTTTATGATTGAAATGATGTTAGACGAAAGTAAAAAAAAAAAAGAGTGCAGCAACAATTTGAGAACTCAGAATCTTCAGATCACTCCTGAAATGTGTAAACCTTGCTATTCACATTGTTATAAGCCGGCTCACAGTTTGAACTGCACATGTGCAACGTCAAAGGTGGAGTCCTCAAACTTGTAAACAGTTCTTGGCTTGACCATGCTTGACACGTCCAGACATGCTTGACATGTCCAGACATGTTTTGTTTATGTCTCAGGGGCCTTCAACTTTGACACACAACTGATAATGAATCACACTGCACATATGCAGTTTAAACCACGAACCAACCAGCCTATATGTACAGCTGCCTCTTGAAGTCCTCCAATTAGTGGATAGGCTAATTAAGTGCGATAAAAACTGATCCAAATATCAGGCATGTATTTGTACTATGTAATGTTGGAAGAAACATTGATAATGTACAATGTATGCTCACCGTTATCTGATTTTAATTTGCTTTTATATAATTCAATTTTACTCACAAATCTGTTTAGACATGTTCATTTTCAAGTCACAAAATGGGGCAGGCAGGAATTTGATTGTTTGACATTGCCGCTTTTTTTCATCATAATTTCCCAAGTATTCTGCCCCTCTCCATCTTTCAAATGGAATAGCCCTTAGTGCTACTTGCCCTTGAGTTGGTCTTTGTATTGTAATATTGCAGCTTGCAATATTAAATCCACAAAAAAGTGTGGAATACTTGTGGTTGTATAAGTATTATATATCAGAAAATGATCTGTTACTGAAGTTGAAATGTTTTAGGTGATATCTTCATTTGAACTGCTTATTTTAGTTGCTGGTAGGATTTTTGCTTTAGCTTGAGATCATGTATTGAGTGTTACTCAAGGCAAAAAAACAGTTGCTAAAAGTGAATTGTTGAGTGTGTATGTTGCAAAGAGACTAGGAGGCTAGCAGACTCCTACAGAGTTGGTACACAACAAACTGGGTACAATTAGAACTAATCAGAAAAAAGCCTGGCTCATAGAGCCTGCAAAGGAGAAATGTACCTCCTTTTTGCTGTGCGTTGCACCTTTGATTAGATAACTATGCCACTGTTTTTGCTGTAATTGTTGCTAAGAAGTTAGATTAATTGCTAGTGCATTAGGATGGCTGATCAGAGGGTTAAGAAATGTTTAAAAAATTTCATGATTAGTAAAATTCATTCTTAATTAAAAAACATGAAATTTACTTGGAGTCCATGCAGGTTACATGTTAAGCTGTCACAAATGCCATGTTTTGCACCCTTTTGATAGATAATGTTGTACATTCTCTGATCAGGTATCATAATGTGCCAGTAGTAATGCTTTACTGTACATTAGAGCTGTGTACCGGTACGCAGTACCGATACTGTACCGGAAAAATTGATTAGGTACAGGTCCAAAATACCTAATCCCTCAGTACCGGTACTGTACCTAAACAATTTCACACCAATTTTATGCCTATTTGTGACCTCAAATCAGTCCCTGTGTAAGGACAGTGTGTTCATGAAAACAAAAACATCTTTAGTTTTGCCTATATTTCATCTGAGCATTCGCCATAAACAAAGAATAAACCTTAACTATCAAGTTTATTAATGTTTTTTTGTTATTGAAGGAGTTCAGAAGAGCATATTAATTGGTCGAATTGTTCAGGTACAGGTTCAGGTCCGGACCTGTACCTAAACCTGTGTACCTGTACCTGTACCTGTACCTAAAATTTGTTTAGGTACACAGCTCTACTGTACATACTTCTCATCAGGGGGAACCTTCCTATAGGTTGTTGATTTTGAGCTGATTATGTTTGACTAATGTATACAAGATCAAGAAATAGAAAGAATGCCATATACATGTACATCTGCCTCATGATTCTTTACTTGGAATTTTCCATCCATTCCAACATTGACACCACCACAATCAGCAGCCTGAAGGACCCTTTAAGAAGAATGGACCATACAAATAAGATTTGGTGTATCTGGGCTCATGGTTATCTTTGTCCTCAAGAATACAGCTCTTTCATGTAAGTTCTCTACATATCGCATCGTTTTTCACACCCAGAAGTTAGCCTTATGTTGTACTCCTGTTTAGTGATAAGTATTTAGGCTAATCCCTACCAGTATATTAAACTGTTAGACTGGGTTGTTGGCAAGAAGTTGATTTCAGATGGGTTTTACTGACGACACGTGAAGCTTTAGTTTAGTTTTGTGTTGTGATGTGATGTTAAAAGAAGTGGTTAAGCACGTTATTGCACGGTTCATATGGAATGAGGACACAATAAACAGGCTATATACAAATGTATGTTGTACTTGTCTTCGTTTTTCTGTCAATCTCACACACAATTACCAGAGTGTAGCTCCTTGCGGTTCCAGACCCTAGAATTCAAACATTTAGTTAGCTTTGTTTGGGTGGAATCTCTTTGCATTATCCTACCACACTTTTCATCTTTTGTCTTTCAAGAATAGAAAATTGAAATCCCTGCCATGTCTGATTCACCAAGACTGAAGCAGAAACAGAGCCGCAATGGTGACATGTACGTGCACTAAGCTTAACACTGCAGCTTGAAACCCAGCATTTTGCACTGTAGTGGCAACTACAGTGTCATTATTATACCATATACCCCCCAGTATGTTGTTTCGTCATCTTCAAGAAAAATACAGTCTCTTGCAATAAATTGAATGATGAGAACAGTACAATTTGTGTGGCACATTTGGTTGCGTTGAATAGTTATTCTCCAGCATCACCAGTCGTTGCCAACATTACCCCTGCAAGTAGTCCTTATATTCCATGCTGAAGGCTCCTGTTGGTTACTGAGAGGTTACTGTCCCCTGTGCTGGAGAAGAAGATCCACAGCCTGCTTCAGGTTGTCCACAAACCCATCAGGATGCACAGTTGGGTGATGCTCATCTTCAGGTCTGCAACAGGACAGAAACAACTATTCAGTACCAAGGACAGGAATGTTGGTCATCCCTTAGTGTTGGTGATCATTACCAAAGACAGGAATGTTGGTTATCCCTTATTGTCAGTGATCAGTACCAAGGACAGGAATGTTGGTTATCCCTTATTGTCAGTGATCAGTAGCAAGGACAGGAATGTTGGTTAATGTTTACCAGTATCCTGATGCATTTTAGTTTTACATTGTTATACTGTATTTTTTGGATCGCTTCAGCCAAAATCTAATAAGAAAGAAAAAAATCCCTGTCCTTAGTAACTACTTTATGTGCTATATAATGCACCCATGACAGCACATCATCTGCTGTTGCTTCCCTACCTGTACTTTCCGGTCCTGACCTGTAGTCCCAGCATCCCTACACTCTGGGCACCACCAATGTCGTTTACAACATCGTCTCCCACCATCATGGCCTGAACAACAAACAAAACTGAGAGTTGTTTGGAAGTAGAGTTGTTTGGAAGTCCATGAAACTTATTTATTTATAAAACACTTATCAAGTCATTATTTATCAGCTTGATGTGACATCGCCAATTTCTGTACATGTATAACCAGAAAAGGAAGACATTGCACATTTATCACTAGTAAGTGTTCTGAGGCTCAAAGACAGACCTCAAAAACAAAGCAGTAGGAAATCTAAGATAAGGCTGCTCAGAGGAAAGAAGACACAGCAGAACTAAATGAAGAAAGACTGATTGCAGCCTGAGGTTTTTGTCAACAATTACACTGTGGTGACATGTCCATTATAAATTTATATTCTCTAGTTGGCCTGTGGTGGCAAATAGACATCTCTACAGGAAAGTTGGTCCTACTTGTTGTGGCTGAACTCCCATGTCCTGTAGGGCTGCCAAAAAGAAGGCCTTGGCAGGTTTCCCAACTACCTCTGCTTCCACATCACAGGCGTACTGGATAGATAAATGAATGAGGGAATGGATGAACTACACTCAAGGCACCTCCAGAGGGAATGAAAGTTCTTTTTTTTTTTCAAATCAGACCAAAATCAGTGCACATAGAGATGTAATCCATAAAATTAACTTGCTGTGGCCCTATTGTTCATCTGCATAATTGTGGATATTGGCAATGTGATAACTCACTTCTAAAGCTTTCATGAAGACTCCAACGTCCAAAGTCAAGCCGTCAGTTTCTTTATAATATCGGCTGAAAAGACAGATCTTACAGTTAACTTGATATTATCTGAAGGCAGTTTTTGTTGAAAAACAATAACAAACAAACCTTAACTAAAATGGTCACTTCTGTCTCTTTTAAATCAATGTACAGGATGCATCATACGTGAAGTCTAAAGTAAATAATATTACTCAATTGCAACACATTACATCTTGGAAAAAAATCAGTTCACAGTTTTAAATGTGCATGCGCATTGTCAAAATGAAGGTCCCTAAGTTCTCAACAATTCTTGTCTATACCAAGTTTAATACATGTCCAATGTGCTTTGTTTATGTCTAAGCATGTGCTGTACAAACCATGAACCAGATTAAACACAAAATACAAGCTTTGGAAACAAAACTTTTAGATCAGATTATTCATCACTCACCCCTTTCCCATTGATATCAGAATAGGATCCTGCAACCCAACCAGGACTCTAAAGGCTTCGTTGAGATTTTTGTAGGAAAATTCATCCGTGGCATCTCCTATCAGGACACAGTTGGGGTTGGAGCAGTCCACTCCTTCAAACTCTGGTTGACAGTCTGCAGCAGGAGAGCAGCTGGTTCTGTACTTACTTTTGTTTTAGAGGTCTGCTACATGTAGCTATAGTTCTGCCTAATATATTAGGTAACAGGAAAGACAGACTTCAATTCAACTGCACATACTGAGTCTGACCCTCAGAAAAGATGCTAGAGCTGCATATTCCTGACACTTAATTGAAGCCCACCTGTAGACATTCAGTTGCAGACACATTTGCCTGGTGTGGTTGGGGCTTGTAATGAGCACATGTATGGGTTCCTGCTTCTATAGGTTTGACTAAACTTTCCTAATAGCAACATGTGGGTCTAGTTGACATTTGGTCTTTCCCATTACCTATAGCTTTGACCAATAAAGTCATATACTGTACTAATATTAGCTATATATAAGTTCTTGGCAGTGTTTTTTTAATTTATTTATTCAGCATACAGTAAACAAAATTAGGGTACAGGACACAGTGACGACGGGCTCAAGTTACGTAACTTATGTTAGCGCCGCCACTTATACGAATAAAACTAATATTACTAGACAATGCAAAACACTAACGAAGAATACATATGAAAGAAAAACACAGTCGAATTGAATTCTTGGCAGTGTTTGAACTGTAATTGTGGGCAAGTGTCTAAAAAAATTGAGTAAAATACAGTAGTGGTCACACATGAAATGTGAATTGCTGTACACAGTTCTCACCTGGATGGATCAGCAGGTGTGGTCGGAGATTCCTGTCCTTAAGCACGAGGCACGCTGCAGGAGCAGGTGAAAACACCTCCTCCCGTGTCACCTGGAACCCCAGCCCAGACAGCTTGGCAACCAGGTGGTCTCGGGTGCACTGGGTCTCATTGGTGCAGAACCGAACACTCAGCCCTGACTGCTTCAACCTACAAATGTAGATGCACTAGTATATTGTGGTGAAGTGAGTTGTTAGCCCACTGTGTCTTGTGCACAGTATTTATATAGGAGAGCACTTTCACCTCCTCCTGTCACCTATTACCTCACTAAACGAAGTCAGGTCGATTGGAGAAAGTCATGAAAAGTGCTGAGGGCTCAGCATAAGCTGTCGTCGAATTATATTCACTATAATTCAGGAAAAAGGGGCGTGTCGCTTGCCTTGTGGTTTTACATAAATACAGGAGTACAAGAGACTTGAACTGCCTACTTTGTCACGGCCTCCACAGATCCAGGAATCGCCACGCCCCCAGTTGCGCCGCTATCGTACAAAACCCCCGAAATGTCTAGTAAAACGCCCTGAATGTCGGAACACCGATCATACCAACGACCAGAGGAAGCCATCTTGGATGGCCAAAGGTCACCAGACTGTTACACTGAATAAACAGGAGTTTAGCATCCCTGTTCTTTTTGTCACCCGCAAATCTGATTAAGTACAATATTATCACAATAATTAGATCAAAGTTATGTAAATGATATTTCATTTCCATAACATAGATATAATTTCGCATCTTACAGAAGCGCTTATGAAACCTCCCCACCTTTAAGTGGAGCGGTCCAAGTACGATAGTTCACCGGCGCCAGGGGAGAATGCAAAGTCCCCGTACTCTTGTCTGTCACTAGTGTCAGCTTCTTGTCGCCAAGAGAAGGTAAGGCACTCATGTGTGGAGTACTTAAGGAACCCAGCAGAAATCTCAACTTCTTCTTCTTAACTTTCAACTGCCACCTTGGTTTCACAGGAGGATCCAGGGGAGGGGGAGGGGGAGTACTTAGTCAAGTTAGTGGGAATTGAAAGGGAGGGAGGAAGGGAGGGAGAGAGCGAGAGAGAGAGAGAGAGATAGTGCGTGCGTGCGTGCGTTTTTTGTGTGTGTGCCAAGGATAACATGTAACAGAAATCCACAAACACTCATCATTATTATTTATATACATTGTATAATTACCTTCGCCAAGAAGGTTATGTTTTCAGAGGCGTTCGTGTATATGTGTGTGTGTGTGTGTGTGTGTCTGTCAACAGCATAACTCGAGAAAGCTTAGATGGATTATCTTGATATTTGGTAGGTGGGTAGGTCTTGATGAGACCTCAAAATGATTAGATTTTGGGCCCCCTGGCGGCTTGTCATGGTACTGCAGCTGAACTTCCGGTTTTGATATCTCATGATCCAGACATGCTAGGGTGACGAAATTTGGATGGCAGGTAGCTCTTGTGCTGGGGATGAAGTGACATGAGTTTGAGCCCCCTAGTTGCTTGCTCTAGAACTGCAGGGGGGTTTAAAGGACAAATGTTTAAAAGAGGATAACTCAAGAACCGATTGATGGATCATCGTGATTTTTGGTATGTAGGTAGCTTGAGTGATGCTTGACATAATGATATTACAATTATGCAAATATTGATGTAATTTGCATAATTAATGAGGAAATTCTATAAATCAGCTGCATACCATGATAGGAAGTTCAAGCTTGTAACATATGTTATTAAGAACGAGAAAAACACAGGCAAATATTGATTATGCAAATGAAGACTTAATTTGCATAATTAATGAGAAAATGTTATAATTGCATAGTGGTAACTGCCTGAAATTTCATACTTGGGATGTTTGAAAGTTAAGTGAAGGTGAACATAATTAAACATAACTTATTCAAATAAGGACCACATTTGCATAATTTATGAGGAAATGCTATAATGGCATTCTTTGTTAAGATAAGACTGTCTTTTGGTGTAGAATATGATCAACAGACTGATATAATTCATGCAATCGAGGATCCTATCTGCATAATCAGGGTGATTAGTATATTTCTTATTTATAAAGCTAACATCATTTGGCGAAGGTATGAGATCGTGGAACTCTTGTTATAATATTTAATGACAATGACAATGATTCACATATAACTGTTACATCCATGCCATGCACATGAGACAGGGGTATAAACACTACAACTCTGCACTATACTACATCTATTATTAAACGTAAGTTAGTAAATTAGCATTGGTGAACGTTAGGCTCAGATCACCTCAGAAATACCTGCAATAAATGAATTTCAACTTTAATACACAATGAAATGTAACGTTACACTGACTGAGTACATATTGGTCAATCTAAACTCAGAATCCCACACCTCCAATTGCTTCAAAATGAAGCAAGCTACATTAAAATTATTTTGTACTACAGCAGGTTGGAGATTAACAACTAAATAGGTTTACTCCAAGAACACATCGAAACGGCCAATTTTGGGTCCAATGTTGGGATCATGTCTGGACAAAACGTCAGAAGATTGTCTTCGGGTTGCGTCTGAAGTCTGCCTCCGTTTGGAAGACACTGATGAGGCAGAAGCTGAAGACTGTTTCCTTCCTGAATCCTGCTGATTAGTACTGCCACTTACACTGGGCTGTAGGCATTGAAAACAAAACTGTTAGCTAATACAGTTACTGTAGTAGTCACTGGGATCATCAACATATAATTTTGCATTTAAGGGCATTTAAGTTTGTAGCTTTTAGAGTTTAAGGCTGAATGCATGTGTGTGTGTGTGTGTGTATATATATTTGTTTCTATATGGCCGAGGTGAAGTCTGCCATCTCTATTAATTTTGATCTCTCATATTGTTTGATACATCTTTTTTCTCACTGGCCAAAATGCTATTTGAATTTCTTAAATAGGCATGCACAAAAGTATCAAATCCTTAAAAAGCCTTTCAGCCTAGCTTTATATAGGAGAAACCAGGTAATAGACAAGCACAGCCCAGTTGTAAAAGATAAAATTCCTGACTTTTTCTGACCTATGTCTTGTGGCAGCCATAATTTTGTCAAGAAAGAGAGTGTGTATGAGTTACCCTGGGCCTGTCTTGTTTCAGTTTGTTTGTCTCAGCGACCAGCTGGCGGAAGGAGGGGCGACGGTCGGGGTTTCTCTCCCAACACCACCGCATCAACACGTACCTGTCAGGTCAGATGAAACTATTACTTACATTGTAATACAACAAATCTAAAGGAATATGTCAAACATTCAGATGTTTAGACAACAATTTTGATCAACTTCACATGCTTTTACATGAATGTGACTTTGACTTTCATGGATAGATTATTTCATTGGATTTCCTTGTAAATAATCTTTCTCTATTTTCTCGACTTTCTGTTCTTATCAAGAATTTTAAAACACCAAACTAACCAACCAATAACCAACTAACTAACCAACAAAGAAAGTACATGTACATGTACATGAACATGTATGTCAGTGTGCTAAAGTAAAGGTAAAGGCTCACATCTCCTCAGTACAGTTCCTTGGTTTGGGCATGCGGTAGCCTCTTCTCAGTTCTCGCTGGACTTGCATCATATCCATACCAGGGTAGGGTCGTCCTCCTGAAAATGGTATACAGAAGAAAGTTTATTCATTTTAAATAACTAAACGATAACTGGCCTGATGTTAACAGTACGCTAACTTCTTTTTTAGTGGAACAAAGTAACTTACCCAGTGTTGCTAGTTCCCACAGCACTACGCCGAATGCCCACACGTCACTCTTGGTGGTAAACTCTCCTTCATACAGGGATTCTAAAGACATCCAGAACACTGGCAGAGGTCGGCTCTGATAATGTGGAAAAGGGGGGGGGGGAGAGTAAGTGAGGGAGGAACTTCATTGCTTGACCACCTTATTTGCCAATGTATGGCAACAATTATTAAACATCAATACTCAAGACTATACATATCATGTGTACAAAGAATGCTGTACAATGTTGCTGCCTTACCCTATCCTGAATCATGTAAGATTCAGCATCATAAATGGCCCTGGCAAGCCCAAAGTCACTGACTTTACACATGTAGTCTTTGTTCAACAGGATGTTACGAGCTGCAAGGTCCCGATGAACAATCTGTGGTCAACACAGAAAACAGTCTGAGTGTTGTTTCATTTTCAATTGTAACAAATTGTCAGATTTTCGAAACAAAATTTTTGAGGATTTACCCAAAATCTTGTCAAACAGAATGTAGACATAGACATTTAAGCAGTTGTACAGTTTCAATTGTCTAAAGATGAATATTGTTTACTTGGATGTTTGACCTTCATCAACGGAATGTAGTTAAACAAATAATGTATGATTGCAGTTCTTGAAAAGGTAGCAGTGTGAACTTACGTTTTTGCTTTCCAAGTAACCCATTCCCCTGGCCGTGTCATTTGCAAATGTAGCCAGTCGTTTGGGGGTGAGGCACAGCTGGCCTCCATGGTTACCAGGGCAGGGCCCATCACTATGGAAATCATCATGGTTTTTCCTCAGGAACTTGGCAAGGTCACCGTTTTCCATGTACTCCATGATAAGAAGCAAGGGATCTGGGGAAGCAAGGGATCTTTACTTATGATCCTCAGGCTCTTGGCCCATATTTCTCCCAAAAAATGTAGCACAGAACAACTTGGAGCCACTTGGCTCTTGAAGTCAATGTATCTGTGTTCTTATAAGCCACATGACCATAATGTCCACTTGTCAATCATGGCCAAGCCCATTGAGACACCACTACAGCCAGGTTTGACTGCACTTGTGGATGCTTTAACAGTGCTACATGTACATTGTGTTGTAGAAATACAGTTTACAGGGAAAAAGTTTGTAGATACATGTTATGTAAAATATTGAAAACAAACAATTTTTCCTGCCAGACAGCTTCAGGCTTGGTATGTTGAATGACATTTTATCTACAATGTACATGTATGTAGCATTTAATATCATATATTATTTAACCTTTAAGTTAGCTATAATATTGTGGTGTGTAATTACCGCAAGTAGAGTTTACAGTCCATAATTCTTGTTATTATAAAAACTTTCTCCCTACCTACGTGTAACCTCATTTGATGCCAAATTTGATGCCAAAAGGATACCTTCAGGCTGAAGGCTTGATGTCTTGAATGCATTTTTTCACGTAAAATAATCCTTCATACAATTTCCAGGTGCACCCACTGTCAAAACAGGTGCGTGGCTCCGACTTTAGGTGTATACAGACTGAAGTTCATGATACATGTACATGCACCCACATGTATGTCCATTACTGTATAAGTATTGCAAGCCCTGATTTCGTACCTAATTAGCCTATGGTACACAATTTCTCACTATTAGGGGCTGATTGGGTCTCCTCCCAGAGATCTGGCCATACACAAACTACATGTAACACCTCCAACTGATCAAGAATTCCCATTCCCAGAACTACCCACGGGAGCTCAGGAAAATCAGAAAATTCAGAAAATCAGATCCAATTAAGAACTCTGTCACTTAATGATGTAAAAATTGTATATTTTGGAAGTTAATGGTCATCACATCCTCCAACCCTAACTGGTAACAATATTTCTTAGTCTGACAATAATTGGTCCATGTTAGCACACAATTATATATCAACAGTATTAAGATGTTCTCAATACTTCTGACTTGTTGGTCAACAAACTTCTAGGCTAGGTGACCTGATCAATGGAGGGGCCGCTAGAAGCATGATGTAGACAGGCTACATAACGTTACCTGATGTAGTGCAGCATCCCAGCATCCTGACCAGCTGGCCATGCTGCAGTTTACTCATCACTCTCTGCTCCTTCACAAAGTCATCCTGGGCTTTCTGGTCTGTACATGGGACAAGTCAAAGTCAAACACAAACTGCATATCAAGATGTTTAAATTTGTACATAAAAAAATGTTAATTGAGTCCTGCAAAATCTTGTTAGGTTTAAAGCCTTAAAAATGTTGTGCTTCTGGTCACTTAAGTATCTGTAGTGCACAACAGATCTATCTGACCTTGCTAGATACAAGGGGAAATTGCTGTCACCTGCTTAGCTGCTGACTGAATCGATGTTGAGTGCACAACAGAAGTTTAGATACTCATTTACAGCTTTCACTGGTCTTCATGCTCATTGTCAGTCACAGATGAAAGACCATCTTACAAGTTACAGTGACTGATGTCTGAAAAGAAATGTCTGATTATGACTCTTCAGAGAAATCATCCAGTTCAACTTGCTTGATTTATTTTATATTTTGTGTTGATACATGTCAACATACTACCTTCTGTTCTAAGTGTCTTTATGGCCACTGTCCTCCACTCCTGTTGTCGGTCGATCCCGTAGGCCTCCCCTTTGTACACCTTACCAAACTGTCCACTCCCCAGCTCAGTCTGAAGGTGGATGTTAGTCTCCGGGATCTCCCAACCGTCTGCAATGCCAGGGATTCGTTCGCTTGGACCAGGCGCTGGGTCATTAATGTTAACATGGCTGGATGAGCTCGCTTCGTGCTGTGGAAGAGCAAGGTGTTGTTTGTTGGCACGAACACACCAGTTCTGTACAAGCTGCAGAAGACCAGACTGTAAGATTTGATCAATTCTTCCTCTTCTTTCAATTTAATCTACAGCAATATTGTAGACTTCTTTTTAAAATTTGATATAACTGGATAAGGGATTCCTTAGTTAAAGCCTATATGCCTGTTTGAGGAGAGTTGCATCTTTTCCCCACCATAAGCACATTGAAAGAATTTGTTCATCCTGTGAATCTAATCCAACTGTACATGTACTTGTACAAACCGATACATTACGCCTAAATGTTTTATGTGAAACAAACATACTTAGTAGATTACCTCAGATGGAAGGGTTGGGTTGCTTTGACCCAGTCTTTCTAGAGCTTCTATAATTCTGTTTTCTGCTGATTTCCGCCTTCTCCTCTTTCTAGTTTGCCACCAGTAGTACAAACTGGCAATGATAATGATGACCAGCAGACTTATACCAGCTAAAACACCTAGCAGCACAAGACAAAGTAACATACATTGTGCATCCCATCAAGCATGTACCTTTCAAAAAGTCTTACTTACTCCTTACATCCTGTCATTGTCAGTTTTCTCTGTATAGGATCTTTGCACGAGGTAGATATACAATGTAATGTCACACATGTGGAATTCTGCAAAAGTCAGCTGATGTTTTCATTGATAGGTTGGGGAAGCAGATTGATTTTGAGTCATTTGAGGAACTTTTACAGTGATTTTTGTGCTGTACTTACCATAAGTGACCCAGTCTGAGGGTGCAGGTGTTGCTTTCAGACTGGGGGAGATAGAAGCTCGAGTCAAACTGGTCATTACTGGAGTTGGTCTTCTGGTCATTTTTGTAGACTCTGAGGTTTGCTGGACAAAAGACAAGGGAGTTGAAGTTCCAAGTGTTGTAGTTTCATTGCTTTGTTGAGACATCTTGCTGTTTATGTGAGGACTGCAGAAATGGGAGTTATTATAGTTAGACTGTGGTCAGAAGCATAAGTTACTTTAAACTCAAGTGTGCAATAAATAATATTGTAGAATGTTGTCTTTAAACAACCACTGAACGTTTCAGAGTATTTTTACTAGTTTTAGACTGCTATCATGCCTGCTATCTGCCAAAAGTGGACTTACATGGAGTACCCAAAAATTTTCCATGACTCCAGTACATGTACAGATGTCATCCCTGCCATTGAACTTGTATTCCAGACTGATTTATTTAATACTGACATGTCTCATAAAAAACCAGATGAATGACAGTGATTGTTGAACAACTGAAGCTGTACAATGACGAAATTATCATTTTTTGAAACATTAGGCCACACCAATTTAATTTCTTGGTTAACGGATTTTTCTAGAAAAATAATGGAGCGGGCGGGCGAGAAAAAAAATAAAAATAAAAACCGGCCTAGGCATTCTATTATGGCCCAAAAGGGTACGATAGGAGCTATGAAGTCAACACACCAAGCTGGTTCAAAATTTAAACAATGAATTTTGAACTTTTAATGATACCATTGCACTGAAAGATGGAATGACTGTAACAACTAGGATGAAAAGGACCGTTTTCAACTGCTTGGGGTAAAATATGAGCATTTTGCAGATGATTCTGAATTTTTATTTTTATTTCCAAATCAGAAAAAAATGAAGCAGGCGAATCCGTTAACCAAGAAATTAAATTGGTGTGGCCTTATAATATGTCACAGCTATAATCAAATTCTTTGAGGTGTATTTTTGCCAAAACTTATTTCCTCATTGTGAAATATGTCTAAATATATATTTAATTGTGATCAGTAGTCAACAATAGACAGTTGTACCGATACTAGAGATAACTGTTGCAGGTTTGGACATATTTTGATATATAATATAGGTACAAGCCAATAGTGGGGTTATCCATAACATCCTAAAATTTTATAAAAGGGCTCAAGTTCCTTACCGTCTGGGTGTAAACAGACTCCCAACAATGTCGGCTGTAAGGTCACGGGGTGACTAAGGTGTGGCAGAATGTTAACCTTCAGTCTGCTAAGGTAGCTGCTTGTCACCAAATCTGTGTTGGTTACCAGGTTAGGCAGCAGGGAGAAGGTTAATCTGTCTCAAACCTGTTGGACCACTTATTCAATAGGAGGGTAGAGAATGACCTTTAGCTGCAAGGAGCTGAATTACTGACTACAGTTCAGATAAACATCTGATTGGCAGCAATAGGTCAGCTACAAGAATTCTACCATCCATAATTCATGACTCTAGATCACATAGATATCAAAACTAGAATTACCACATTGCTGCAGTATGATAACAAGCTGCCAGAGGGCCCAACATCTAATCATTTCAAGGTCTAATCTACCAAGGTTCATGACAATCCATCCTTAGCTTTTTGAGTTATTGTGCTAAACCCCAAACATACTCACACACACACACACACACACACATGCACACATACACACTCCCTCTCTCTCACACACACACACACTCACACTCACACACACACACACAAACACACACACTCATACACATGCACATGCACACATACACACAATCATAAAAATGCTACCAAAAACATAACCTTCTGGCAAAGGTAATAAATGATAACAGCAACATCAAGTCAAGATGAAATGTGTTCTGATTATATTTCAACAACAATCATACTTATCTAGTAGTGGTAGTTGTACATGAATTTTTTCTATTATTCAATTAATATACATAACTGTGCACCTTTCGTGCCACAATAATTACACACCATTCACCTGTGTTATTGAACATCACACCATCAAATGATAATTTTTCAAACTCCAGGTTGTTGCTGCCATATATAATGGGCCTGGCATTAAGGGTATGCCAGTAAGTAAGTAAGTAAGGTTTAGTAAGTCAAAGTTTTTTTATAAAGGTAATCATCATGACAGCATCTGATGTCACAGTGAACAGCCAGTTTGGGAATCAACATGGCTCAAGGTAAATTTACTTTTGTAAAGTAAAAAAGCAAATATTGTAAAATTATGAGGACAAAACATTGTTTCTACAAAAAAATTTTGAATCTTGATCTTAAGATTGTATACGGTACCTGTCTTCAATTACATTTATTTTACAAACTATTTTTCTAAGATCAAATACCTTTCAAAATGTTTTCTGTGCACCTATATACATTTGTACATTGTATTCCCCAAGCAAAAAAATTAAAAGTAAATGTCAAATCATGTAGAGTCCATTCCTTTAACATTCTCCCTACTGCCCAACCCTGTAACCATGAATACAGACTGGTCAGGTCAGTAATTAAGCTACTACAGCAGGTAGGATTTACTCCAAGAGCACATCAAAACGGCCGATGTTGGATTCACGTCTGGAAGAAACGTCAGAGGACTGTCTTCGTCCTGAAGAAACGTCAGAGGATTGTCTTCGTCCTGAAGAAACGTCAGAGGATTGTCTTCGTCCTGAAGAAACGTCAGAGGATTGTCTTCGTCCTGAAGAAACATCTGCAGACTCCCTCCGTCCGGAAGACACTGAAGAGGCAGAAGCTGAAGACTGTTTCCTTCCTGAATCCTGCTGAGTAGTACTGCCACTTACACTGGGCTGTAGGCATTGAAAACAAAACTGTTAGCTAATACAGTTACCATTACTGGTACATGTAGTTGTCACCCGTCAACTACATAAATTTGCATAAGTTTGCAGCACTTACATGATTGTACACACACATGTAGTTTGGTGGCACAGAGTTAGTGGTATCTTTGAGATTTCTAACTGATAATATTCCTGAAAGATAAAATTCCTGACTTTTTGTGACCTATATCTTCTTGTGACAGCCATAATTATGTGAGTGTGTATGAGTTACCCTGGGCCTGTCTTGTTTCAGTTTGTTTGTCTCAGCGACCAGCTGGCGGAAGGTGGGGCGACGGTCGGGGTTTCTCTCCCAACACCACCGCATCAACACGTACCTGTCAGGTCAGATGAAACTATTACTTACATTGTAAAACAACAAATCTAAAGGATTATGTCAAACATTTAGATGTTTAGACAACAATTTTGATCAGCTTGTGTATGTTGTCAGATAGACAAGTCTTGTTTTTTTTCCATTTGTTATCATAACTCTTGTTGCCATTTCTTTCTTTCTCAAATTGTTTTTTTCTTCATCTTTAAATATGAGCTTTTACATGTGTCTTTCACAGATAGACTAAGGCATTGTTTTGTTGTTTTGTTTTTTCAATTTTTCCTTTTTTAATTGGATATCCTTGTAATTTTTTCTTCTCTTGAAGAGCTTTTTCTGTTCTTATTAAGAATATAAGAACACCCAATTATCCAACCAACAACAAACAAACTAACTAAATTGTATTTCACATTTTCAACCTTTTCCCAGCTGCCTAACCTTGTGACCAATTGAGAATTACTAGCCAAACAGCTACATGTACATGTATGTCAGTGTGCTAAAGGTAAAGGCTCACATCTCCTCAGTACAGTTCCTTGGTTTGGGCATGCGGTAGCCTCTCTTCAGCTCCCGCTGGACTTGCATCGCATCCATACCAGGATAGGGTCGTCCTCCTGAAAATGTCACACAGAAGAAAGTTTATTTGCAAGTTTGTGCCTGAAGGTTAATATCAAGTACATGGATTCTTAATGGAACAAATTTTTAAAGTAATTAACTTACCCAGTGTTGCTAGTTCCCACAGCACTATGCCGAATGCCCACACGTCACTCTTGGTGGTGAACTCTCCTTCATACAGGGATTCTAAAGACATCCAGAACACTGGCAGAGGTCGGCTCTGATAATGTGGAAAAGGGGGGGGGAGTAAGTGAGGGAGGAACTTCATTGCTTGACAACCTTATTTGCCAATGTATGGCAACAATTATTAAACATCAATACTCAAGACTATACATATCATGTGTATGTACAAAGAATGCTGTACAATGTTGCTGCCTTACCCTATCCTGAATCATGTAAGATTCAGCATCATACATGGCCCTGGCAAGCCCAAAGTCACTGACTTTACACATGTAGTCTTTGTTCAACAGGATGTTACGAGCTGCAAGGTCCCGATGAACAATCTGTGGTCAACACAGAAAACAGTCTGAGTGTTGTTTCAGTTTCAATTGTAACAAATGGTGAGAGCTTCCTTACTGCCTTCCTAAAGCTTAACACAACAACTTGAACAAGCTTAACACTAAATGTGAACCTGACTAACAGTCACTACTGCACACTACAGTTCCCATGTGCTTAATACTGCTAGGTTGAGTTTCATATCACAATTCTACACCAGTGAATATAATACTGAATATGCAAGCTGGAAATACCCACTAGCAACCTCTACTTTTCAGACAACTTCTTGAGCTTTAAGCCAAGCTTTATTTCCCATAGAAGAAACTGGTAATGTAGGAACACAGACCAGTTCTGAAATTGGTAATTTTTTTTAAACAGAATTTCTTGCTGATTTTTAAACAGAATTTTTAACCAAACACTAGACTTAACCAAAATCTTGTCAAACAGTTATATACACTATCATAAACATTCATCCACTAGTAGGGTTGGAATTGTCTCTAGTAGGAATATTGTTTACCTGGATGTCTAACCTTTGTCAACGTAACATAGTTAGACAATGTGTTCTTGAAAGCAGTTCTAAAAAAGGTAGCAGATCTCACTTTTTTGCTTTCCAAGTAACCCATTCCCCTGGCCGTGTCATTTGCAAATGTGGCCAGTCGTTTGGGGGTGAGGCACAGCTGGCCTCCATGGTTACCAGGGCAGGGCCCGTCACTATGGAAATCATCATGGTTTTTCCTCAGGAACTTGGCAAGGTCACCGTTTTCCATGTACTCCATGATGAGAAGCAACGGATCTGGATAGGGAACAGCATTTAGATAATCAGAGATGATGGACTTTGCCCCCTTACCTATGCTGCTTTGCATCCATTCACAAAAAGTTAGTGGCTGATTGGATCTCCTTTCTGACAGATTGTGACCTTTTGCCGCTAACTCAAGAGAATCATTACCACTCAAGATTCTTTATCAATTCTTTATCACTCAGTGAAAATTAGTCCAACTTGGGATTCTCATCATTTAATATATATCGGAAACCAGTCATTCCCAGCCTCCAACACCATGGTAACAGACAGTTCTCAGGATTAAGATGTTCCTGATACTCCTTACTTAGAGGTGTTGGTCATCAGGCTTCTAGGGGCTGCTAGAAGTAGTGCAGCGTGATGTACAATGCAGACAGAATATGTACCTGATGTAGTGCAGCATCCCAGCATCCTGACCAGCTGTCCATGTTGCAGTTTACTCATCACTCTCTGCTCCTTCACAAAGTCATCCTGGGCTTTCTGGTCTGTACATGGGACAAGTCAAACACAAGCTGCTTATTAGGAGGTTCTGTAGGTAAGAAAAATGTTCAGTCTTGCAGAATCTAGCTGGGAAAAATGTTGTGTTTCTTTAGTATCTGAGGTGTGTAACAGAAGTTTAGATTTATATATGTAGGTTACACTCGTTCTTTAGACTCGTCCTCAGAGATAAAAGACCAGCAAATGTTACACATGTAAACATCTGACTCTTCACTTCAGGGAATTTATCCAGTTGCCTGATTTATTTTGTGTTGATACATGCTGACATACCTTCTGTTCTAAGTGTCTTTATGGCCACTGTTCTCCACTCCTGTTGTCGGTCGATCCCGTAGGCCTCCCCTTTGTACACCTTACCAAACTGTCCACTCCCCAGCTCAGTCTGAAGGTGGATGTTAGTCTCCGGGATCTCCCAACCGTCTGCAATCCCAGCGATGGATGGCCTGGGACCGCCAGGCACTAGGTCATTCACGTAGTCTTGGCTGGGTGACCTCACTTGACGCTGTGGGAGAGTAAGGTGTAATTGTAGTTTGTTGGCATTAACACACCAGTTTTGTACCGTAGGTTCAAGCTGTGTAAGACCCTGTGAGACTGTTAAGATATGATCTGTTGCTGTTCAATAGACTTTGCCCTACAGTTATCATATGTTAGGCTTCTTTAAGAAATTTGATATTGTGTTGCTACATGTACAATCCTCTGGTTAGGGATAACCTCTCTGATGGGACAAACTATACATGTACATAAGCTGGAGCTCCTGTGTTTGAGGAGAGCCACACCTTAAGCACGTCAAAAGAACACTCATAAAAAAGAGTAGTGGGGGTCCATCTGGTGTGAGTCTTACCCAGCTTGTACTAAGTATGTTACACCTAAAGGCAGTTTACCAGTTATGTCAAACAAACAAACTTGAGAAACAGATTACCCTAGAGTGACCCAGGGTTGGACAAATCCTATTGCCCACTTGCCCAGGGCAAGTAAAAGTACTGTTCGGGCAAGTGAATATCCCCCTGTACTTGCCGGATTCGCAAGTAAATTTTTTGTATGCAAAGTATAGCCGCTATGGTGTTTGGAGCAAAATTACTCATCATTTTGCCATATTGATGCCCTTTTGTCAGAAAATCCATTGCAAGTCTCAAACCACCTTACTGTGTTTTAGTATGTTACACCTAAAGGCAGTTTACCAACAAACAAACAAACTTGAGAAACAGATTACCCCAGACGGCCGCGGGATGATCGGGTTGTCATGTCCCAACTCCAGACCAACCGGAGATCTGTCTAATTCCTGTCTTCTCCTCTTTCTAGCTCTCCACCAACAGTATAAACTGGCAATGATAGCGATGGCCAGTAGATTCAGACCAATAGCAACACCTAGCAACACAAGATAAAGTAAAAACACCACTATGCATAAACATGTAATTGTGAACAATTGCATAGTTAATGTTAAATTGTTAACTTAAAATGAAATTCTGCCAAAGGATAGGACTTTCACACAACAATAAATGTAATTACAGATGTAGATAGAGAAGACCTACTTTAGTGCTCCTTTGATTGAATAGTGATAGCTGGATAGTAATGTACTTACCTATAGCGACCCAGTCTGTACCTGAGGGTGCAGGTGTTGCTTTCAGACTGGGGGAGGCTTCAGTACTGGTAATACTGGTCATCACAGGAGTTGGTCTTTGGTTTGTGGTCATTTTTGTAGAGGTTTGCTGGGCTGAAGACAAGGGAGTTGAAGTTCCAAGTGTTGTAGTTTCATTGCTTTGTTGAGACATCTTGCTGTTTATGTGTGAACTGCAGAAATGGGAGTTATTACAGTTAGACTGTGGACTACCAGTATACTGTCCAGTCAGAAACAGTTTAATGTAAACCCAAGTGCGCAATTATAGGATGTTGTCTTCCATTGAGACCAGTTAATAACCTAGCTAGTTAAATTAACCACTGAAAGGTTCAGAGAGCATATTGAAGCTACTGGTATCAGACTTCTATGTCAAAAGAGATCAGTACCCCAAAATTTTCCACTACACTTCCACACACAGTTCAATTATGCTCATCTCTCGTTTTAATCACTAACAAACACCTGCATTATATTCGTCTGAACTTATATAATCCCAGACTAATATATTTAGTACTCAAATACAATGTATCTTGTTTTTGTAGTAGAACAATTAGATTAAAAACAACAGAATAACAAAATTACAGTGTTTGTTGGAAAACTAATTTTTTTTAACGATCTTTTAGTATCGTATTATTTCACAGCTCTTAAGTCAAATACCTTTTGATTTGTACTTTTTACCAAACTTACTTCCTCGTTGTGAAATGTGTTCAAACCTGCTGCAGTTGTCTGTCATAACCAGTACTAATCACAATTAGGTGCAGGCCAGTAGTGGGGTTAGCCATAATATATCCTAAAAACAATTAATATTGTAGTACAGAATATATCCTAAAATCATACAATCATAAAGTGGCTGACAAGTTCCTTACCGTCTGGGTGTAGACAGACTCCCAACAATGTCGGCTGTAAGGTCGCGGGGTGACTAAGGTGTGGCAGTGTGAGTTAACCTTCAGTCTGCTAAGGTAGCTGTTTGTCACCAAATCTGTGTTGGTTACCAGGTTAGGCAGCAGGGAGAAGGTTAATCTGTCTCAAACCTGTTGGACCACTTATTCAGTAGGAGGGTAGAGAATGACCTTTAGCTGCAAGGGGTTGGGTTGGTTCAGCTGTCTGCTTGCAATATACTGTGTATAAATATACTAGGCAAATACTTTCATACTCAGTCTAGTATATAGACAATTAGTGTTTTAGTAATTTAATTTGTATTTTTAAATTAGTGTTTCATCCATTAGACCACATACACTTAACAGATGCATTAGACACTGTATTTAACCCTTTGGGTATGAATATGCACATTATTACCATTATAATAGTATGGATTAAAGGATGCTTTGAACTAACCATTCTTAAGAGTTAGCAGGAATTAATATCCTTTCTTGCAGTCACAGTTTGTCAAATGTGTTAAAAATTCTATATATACACTGTATGACTCCAATACTATTCCAAACATGGACATAGGCAAATATAGTACATAATTTTTCATTTACATCGTAGTTCGTATATATACCTACATGGAAGTTGTTGACTTTGTAGTCCCTGTGGTACAAATCAATTATTGGGTCCATCACAAGATGTCTCCTTTGATTTTTCATTCTTATTTTTGGCCGCTTTCTCCATCGATCTCCATCAGTAAATGAGACCGATGTGGCCCTGTGGAAATGTTGTTAAGAGGTTAAAAGATCTTTTTGATTATCATAGAGAAGTTTTTTTTAATAGAGAATATTTTGTTTTCCAGCTCCAAGATACATGTAAATCATGAAAGATGAGAAGAACAAGAAGGTTGTGGATACAGATGAGGCATTAGATACTGGCAGCCATCCCAAGATCACAGATAACTTCTCCAAGACAGTCTCCATCTTCAAGGAGTTCCTGAAGGTGTCTTCTCTACTCGTGCCCAGCCCGTACATTACAGCAGCTCGTATCATCATCGAGAGAACGTTAGACATTGCTGAACACCCAGACAGGTACCCAAGTTTTGTCCAGCAGTCCCGGGAAGCTCTCATCAACAGGAGTCAGAATGTCGTTAGCCTCGTTAACTTTGTCACCTACAGACAGAAGAGAAAGCATTCCCAGTGGCTGTCTGGGTACACACAGCACATGGACTGGGAGGGTGTGATAGAACTGGTCCAGAAACTGCTTCTCAAGGTCAAGACCATTATTGGGCTGTCTCAAGAAGTTGTCATCGAGCCTACGGACTTGAAGAATCTGGAGGATTCCGTCACCGAAGTCCGAGACATTCTCCCAACTTTGCAAAAACACTTGGAAGAGGTGGCAAGTCTGTCGACAGAGGTTGAGACAGAAAAAGGATACAAAATGTTTCTGGCAGAGACAGAACAGTTTTCTTTGCGAGTAGATCAGTATGGGAAACAGTTGCGGGTTGCTAAAGATGCTTTGGAAAATGTACAAGAGGGCGTGACAAAGAGTCGGAAGGAAGTTGCAGAGACACGCATGAGCCGGGGAAGGTTGGCTGTGATGAATGCTGCAGTCAGCGCTCTCACTGGTACACTGAGCTTCATGGTGGAGGAATGGACAAGGTAAGTCTTTTTTAAATTTCTTTTGATTGCGAAGAAAGTAAAACAAAGAAATACAAAGATATGCCATGGATCCTAACAGAAACCTCTATTAGAAACTAAAGAGTAACATAATTAAACAAAATAGATTCTTATGTCAATGAAAATGTGACAACAGAATCAGGATGATGATATTGTGTTCAGGCAATAATACGCTCAGGTTAACATGCACAAGGAAAAGCAGGATGCAGTCTTTGTCAGCTCGTCTTTGAAGAGACTATAGAAGTGTCTCCTATTTTTTAACAGGTGGTTCCTACATTTCTGCACTGGCGTCGCTGCCACCTGCAGTATGATGGCTATTGCAGACTACCGGTCACAGCCGGACCTGACCCCGCTGGCCACTGACGTGTCTCGGGCCCTCAGGATGGTGGAATCTCTCATCACCCACCTGTCCGCAACCAAGGGCAAGATCGAGTCAACCAAGACAAGCGCACGGCAGCAGCATCTAGAGAAGAAGGAGGAAGGAGAGAATGAAAGGGGGGTTCGACTGAGATATGGATCTATGGACCAATCAGACGACTCAGGGCAAAGCTTTGAGGAATATGTTTGTTTTTTTGGCAATGCCTCAGGGGCAAGCCTAATACTAATAGTAGTATATTCTTTGCTCACTTCAAGAATTTTAGGAATTTCACAGGATTTTTATGCATGCTGTTCATGCATGCTGAGTTCATCCTTGTGTCCCCGAAAGAAGTTGGCCAGGAGGTAGCCACCATTTCTCCAGACAGCTGGCTGGAGGGACAATTTTGTGTGTTTTCCAGGTTGCTTTGTTTATGCTGCTAGTAATTGTTGTTTATTGGATTTTTGTGTCCAAGATATATTTGAAAATGAAGTACATGTACATGTATTGTATACATGTAGATATCTGCTGTTGGTTATTACCCAGATTTTTCATGTGTTTAAATTGTGAAAAATAGAATTTCTGCATGAATATTGTTGGATTTAAATGGCTTTTGTGATAAGGTTAACTTTGTGTAAGTTTGCTAAGAACTTATTATTCAGATCACCTTTAATGTAATCATTGTGAAGTAATGGCATTTACAAAAAACAATTTCCATCACTTGACAGTCAAAAATTACACTTGCCAAAGAAGCCACACGGTCAACTAAACAAACAGATGGTGACTTGTAGATATCCATTGCACTGATAAATGGAACAGGTTGCATTAATAATTTTTATAAGTAAGAAGACAAAGGGAATTAACTAAAAAAGACAGTGTTAGAGCTGGCTTTTTTGTGCTGAAGTTTGCATGTGGATAAATGGCGCATCGGCGGATATAGTTTTTCATCCTTTTGGCAGGTACATGTTGGTGCCTTAGGTGAAAATTGACACAATGAAATGCATGTTATGCAACTACGTGAGAGATAACGTATGCATATTCATGAGAGATGAGCAATACATACACATAATGGCCTTCAATGGTCCCATAATAACATGACCTAGAATCCAGGACGTGGTGTTGCACTGTTGGTCAATGACCACCTCTGTCAGCAACCAGTTTTGATAATATCCCATTATCTGGACATGCTAGGGTCACAGATTTTGGATGGGTTCTTGAGCCCAGAAATAAGAGACACCACACAGAAAATCTGACAACTGATGTTTATTCTGCCATTATAGAATAAATTCTGTATCTGTACAATGAAAATATATTACTCGTCTACATTCATTTAGTGTCCATCATTACAATCAGTCCTCTGATGACTTAACACAGCAGGTGAACAGCCTTTTCAGCTGTTTCCAGGCCCGTCGGTGCCATGATTTGTTCCTGCCGAATCTCTGTTGTCCCGTCTTGACGCTGCCTTTAACCAAAGTGAGAGCCTCTAGACTTCTGACGTCAATCTTTAACTGGACACTGACTTTCCCAGTCTCTGAGGAGAGGGATCCGACTTGTGGTACAGATGACTCTAATGTCTTGTGTCCATCATTGTGTTGCTCATCCTCACCAAATAGCCATGAGATGCTGTACACGTTCTCGAAATTGCTTGAAGAAGAACCAGCATCAGAAGCATCGTCATCAAATGAAGTCGAATGCAGCTTTGGTGACAAGTATCTCTCCTGCCTTCTCATCAGATCACCCAAGCAGTGGGCTTTGGCAACTGGGATCTCTGTAGTCTCACAAACATTAGATGGTGCTGAATCTTCGCAGTGCCCGTCACTGTCCGAGCTGGTTTCTTCATCTTCAGACAAGCTAGGTGGAGTGTCGTCTTCTGAGTCAGACTCTGAATCATTGGACAAGTCGGACTCACTGTCATCACTGCTGATGTCATTTGGCTGAATGTTGTGGTGCACTCGAGGTGCTGGAGGCTTTGCCAACACTGTTTCTACTTCTCTGTCGATCTCGTGACTGTCCAGCCAAGATAAATCCGCCAGGCTGTCAGCCAGGTGACGGACGCAGTCACCAAGCCTGACATTGGATCTGACCACTGGTAGAGTAGACATATCTGGGATGCTTTGTCTTGGACAATCAACACAACCAAGAATTTTACAATGCTGAAAGTCCATCAAATTCTCTTGTGTCACTGGTAGGAGTCGAGTACAACAGCCACCAGTGGGTCTGAATCACATGTTGTCAAGAACAACGTGTTCTGGAACAGGTTGCCTTTCTTGTTTTTCAACAATGGTGTTCCTTTGATTTTAACTTGGATGAATAGATAATTTTTTGTGTTTCTCAATATGAGGACTGGTTGACTTTGCCACTGTCATCAAAGTCCACAAATTCTCTTGAATCGCTGGTCAGAGAGAAAAAACTTAAATCACAGGCTGTGGCCAAGGACAACTATTTATGTTGGCCACGTTCTGTTCTGGAACACATCATTTTTTATTGTTCTACAACAATAGCCTTCCCATGAAATCTGTGGCAGTCTTGTTATTTTGATGTCAATCTTTGTTCCCCACAGTAGTATATGATTGTATCATCATTTACTAAAATTTTCTTAATCCAAGACACCACGAGCATGCATGCAACAGGAAACCACCAAGCTAACGGTTATATCTATAATTCGTCTTGAAATACTTTTTTTTTCAGGATATAGTTAGTTGCATTGATGAAGGTTAGATATCCATGTATTATTTACATTAAATGAGCCTCATTCTCAGTCACTGATGAAAGATAGTGGATGCTATCTGACATGTATCCATTTGCTTGATTTATTTTCTATTACAGTATTTTACAGTTCTTCATGTGGAAATGTAATCAGATGTAGAATTCCACATCAAATCACTTCTTTCTAAGCTTGTTTTTGTTTGCGCGCCGCTGTACATGTTTTTGTAAAGCTGAGAATTTGCCTTGTAGCACAAGCATTTCCTTGTTATCTGCTATCCCTGCCTTGATGACCTCCTTGGTCACAGAGTTGATGTCCTTCTGCAGTTTCTGTAACCTGGTGGTCATCTTGTCCTGGACATGGGCCATCTGGCTGACCCCTGAGCCCTCGCTGGGCAGCGTGAACTCTTTGCGGATCACACTGTAGATTTCCTCAGCTGTGGAGGGTTGGTCGGTATCAAATGTTTCAAAACATGGGAGCTTGAAACTGTTCCCATGTTTGGATGATGTACTGTCACCGTCATCGTTTTCCTGTGAAGTATAGGTTGCTCTTTATTGTACAATCTTTTGTACAAGCTACAAGTACTATATAACAACAAACGTACTACGAGACTAAATTACCTGCACACACAAGACTACATGTAGTATGGGATAAGAATTTGCTTGTAGTTACCTCGGTAACATTTTTGAAAATAATTGCAAAAATTTAATGTCTGTATGGTAAACAATGGCAAACAGTTGACACCTCACCTCACTACGACAACCTCTGACAAGTCTGACCGCTGATGTCACCAACGTCTGCAGTCCCATCAGCAGGTTCAAGGGCACAGGAAGGTCATCATATGCACGGAACTCCATGACCAACTCTGCACGTGCAAAGTTCCAATCCACATTGGCGCTTTCCTGAATGTCAGGAAGAAGGGAAGATATTGGAAAGCATCTCAAATAGATCTTCAGTTACACGTACACCAAATTACATTTAATACTTCCTAAACCCTGTGAGGTGCAGGTAAGATTTGTCTGGTGCGTGTTATTTGTAATTTTAAAGTTATGCTAAAAAGATTATTTGAGTCCTGACCCGGATTGTGGTATAAGTGTCGCTCATCCTGGCCGTGAGCATGCTGAGCAGAACGATGACTGCGATGAGCAGGTACAGCATGATGAGGCACTGGCCCGTGTAGTTAGCTGGCAGGAAGCTGGTTCTGAAGTTGTTGATGTCAGACAGGCCGAACAGCGCCCAGAACAGCTCAGGAAGGACCGAGGATATCCTAAACAGGATGGATATCTCAAAAATCTTACTCCCATGAAGACCATGTCATACGAAAGTTGAAAGCATTTAAAGGAAAGGAACAGTAAGATCAATCAATAATGCAGGTTTCATTACCTTTGAATCCAGGGAAAAGTCAAGACTAGTCATTCCTTGATTTACTACCGGTATTATTTACTACTTGATGTACTTTGAGGTATGAGAGTATTATGTCTGTATTCCTCTGATTGTGGTGTCTTATAATTATAGTATATGGCATGGGCTGGGGGACTTTGTAATGTGTCCCTGCACACACACAGACTCTGAGATAAGATCATTCCTTCCTCTTCCTCACCCCTGAACTGCACTAGGCACCCCAGCAGGGAGGGTGGGGTCCACAGCTGCAGCCTTCTCTGTGATGTTCATACCTGCCAACACTGCTGTGGAGTACACCTGAGGTACAGATGGCAGATCATTATTTGCTAACCATTAAATTGTCTGTTTCTTTCTTGTACTGTATTTCAATATTTTTATTAGGATGGTGGGCTTAAGACCTCCTGCACTATAATTATATTATGTTATATTACAGTTATATATTACGCATTTCCTTGCTCACTCTTTATGTTTTCTTATTTGTGCAAATAGATAAACAAATAAACAACCCCTTCATGATTTGAACCCAGAACCTTTAGATTCAACGTCATCAACCCTAACCACAAACCCTCAGCCCCTCTTATAATTACCTCCACCACCCCACAGCTGAAGGCGATCAGCACGACCATCAGTACCATCAGGACCAGGATCACATCTTTGATCATTTTGATGAAAGACAACTGGAGAGGACCAAATGTCTCGTGCACCTACAGGACAGGGCAAATATATTCTGTGAGGCCACGGACACCAATCTCGTAACTTCTACTTGCCACCATGTATGGGGTTTTGTTTTTGGCATGTTTGTGTGTTTGCTTGTGTTTCTGTAGTTTTTTTCCATAATATGCTAGGCACATTGGAGACACATTCATACTGTGATAGATGTAATTGGAAAGACAGTTGGTCACCTCCAGGCAATGCCTTCTATTTCCTGCTATATGCATATTTGTTGCCTTATGTGAACCATTGGAAAATACATACTATTAGACAGAAGAAATATAACAGTCAAAAATTCACAAATACTCTTTGCTTTACTGCTGAAAGTGTCTTAATCTATCTTATCTAGAAAGCAGTGCTTACCTGGATGTAGTAGGTCAGTCTCATGAAGGCAATGATGGTTACCAGACCTGTGCAGATCTCAGCCACAATCTGGAGATCCACCGCTACTGTCGCATCACCTATCAGCTGCAGTAATGCCAGAAGGTCAAAAGGATGGTTAGAGGGCATGCAGGTTAATCCTCTGTTTGTTTGAACTTAAAAGTTTGTTTATTGAACTGTGGACCACAGATTATCGTCTCTGCTTAACCCTTTCCAGTAGCATGCAAGTGAGTAACAACAGCCAGGATTCAAACTCACCTAGTCCTGAGGCAGTGTATAACTAACCACTGAACTATGCATGCTATCTGATAATTATGTAAAACTGATCATGTCTGTGATGTATGTAGACCCTTGACCTGGCATATAAGCTTCACTAGGACAGAAGCTGATGGTGATCATAAGCAGGAGGAAGATGATCAGACTATCAAACTATGATTATGTGACACCATGTCTGTACTGTGATGTGTGCTATAAAACCATGGTGTGATACCACATCAGCTGTGAAACTACCATGTGATGCCACATCTGTGCCTGACCCCTGACCTGGCGTGTGAGCTCCACGAGGACCTGGCAGAAGGTGATGGTGATGAGGAGGAGGAACATGACCAGGTCCACAGAGTTGGCAGAGTTGGTGATGTACAGCCGGAAGTTGGGCGCCTCCACCATCTGCTTGGCCTCCTGCAGCAGCTGGCCGGCCAGCCAGAGTGTCAACAGGTAGTCCATCGCCTCCAGGGGGGCATTCACCTTTCAGGGGAACAGCAAAACATTAGACATCAGGAAACAATGAATCATTTCTTTTCTTAGATTTCTGACAGCTTGGACCAGGTACAGGTGTAATGAGTCTTTAACTTGTGTTTTTCACTTTTATTGCACTTTTTTTTAATGAAAACTACTATGTATATTTGTTTTCATCAATAGTCTCTCATTTGGAATGGGTGGTAATACATACTTCTAGGCACCTTTGAACCATTACAGATGACCTTGGATTTCTGTAATTTTACTATTTCAAAGAAAACAAAGGTTCTAACAAACCAATTCAGGAAATGCTCTAACCTGGAAGGGTCGCCCACACTGGATAACCAGGATGCAGATGAAGACCAGATACGACATGAGGTTGGCCCAGAACTTGATAAGTGCACTACGTCTGCAGTCCACAAAGATGAAGCGGAAGTACCTGTGGAAGTTGTCCTTCCATTTACATCTGTCAGGGAATAGAAAGAAAACTATAATGTTTAAAACTCTTATCATGGATGCAGTTTTTAATTATTGAAGTGTAAACAATGAAAAAAAATGTTTGTTGCAGAACCATGTAGAAAGTTGCCCTCTGTTTTGCCTACGCGTACACTTACCTACATCCCAAATCCTATAAAGATCCCTTTACTTCTTGAGTAACGCTGTCCACAGAGAAACCCACAAACACTTCCACCCATACAAGGCACTGAGAACTTCTTGGCAAAGGTAACAAATAACAAATGACCTTCTTGGCAAAGGTAACAAACAAGCAATATTACCTGAAACAGCCTGTCCCTTCTTCATTACCACATGCAGGAATGTTACATGTACCACAGATGTACAGGAGACCGTATGCGAGGCCTGCTAGTGGCAGCAGGATCAGGGATGAGATGTAGAGGAGAACCAGCATCCAGGCAGGCTGCCCCAGGAATTAATGCATCATCCAATCAGTCAATGGATTATTGAATTAATGATTCAATGAATGAATGAATCAATCAATTAGTTTATTTCAATAAGATCACATCCAATAACAATAGCAGCCATAATAAAGCTGAATTGAGGTATAACTTACAACATTGAAATCAGGCTCTGAGACTTCAATCAGTGATATAACATTGTACATGTACATGTACATGTACATGTAGTTGATTAAAACTGATGCCAGAGATCTCAAATTAAGAACAGTAAAAAGATTTGCATTTATTATTTACCAAATAGTAAATACAACTACCTTGGACTGAACAATGGGAAGGAGTCGGTCGTACCACAGCTCACGAAGCAACCGCTGGACAAAGGTGGTCGCCATGAACTGTGGAATAAAAGTACAAACATAACAACATTTAATCATACTTTGTACATTCTTTAGGCCTCACTGACTATGACTGTGATACTGTAGATTCTTTTATCACCCTAAAACTGATCTTCTACCAGGATGTTTAACCTTCATTTAGTGTCCTGTCAGAAATCTTTGTCACTGTACCTGTTTGTGCTTCTTTGAGAATGCCAGTCTGAAGATGTGTGCATTGTTGTCCAGTAGGATGACCCTGGCCTGGTCCATGCTGTAACACTCCTCTAACAGTGCTGCTGCCAGGTTTTCACACTGACGGGCAAGGTCCTTGTAGTCGGGTCTGATGTCCTGTAGATGACACAAGTCTACATTTTTAGTCAACATCACATCAACATGGTCTTGAACTGCAATTTCCAACACAAAAAAACTGATTTATCAATGAACAACAAAAATTGAAAGTTCAACTCTAGTCTTTTTCAAGGAATTAGACATCCATGAAAATTTGGGTAAGCCCATTTTTTGAGTTGGAAATTACCTCTCAAACCTGTCTCAGATGACTTCTACCATGTTGAGCACAGATAAAAGTTCAAACTATCACATCAACATGTTTTAGTCAACATTCCAAAATGGACACCAAATCATGCATACATGAAAACAATGTTCCTCATACATGTATACTGCTATTAATAATATTTTGTTGTAACTGTACGAAATGTAGAAAAGTCTTGTAGCATTGTTACTTGGTAGTTGTTGCTCAGACAGCTGAGTGACTAAAGGAAACCAACTGTAAAAGTGCCATTATTACACAATGTCAGGACAAAGATGAATGAGATAACACCTGTTTGACATGTGACAGTTCTTTGAAGACGTCTCGGAGGTGCAAGGCTGTGAGGATGGGGGAGGGGGTTGCCAGGATGGCTGGGGTCTCACACAGCATCTTTGCTGCCTGCAGGTCATTGGCAACCTGATGGTCCTACAGGAGAAGATGGTACTTTCTCAGAACTGCTCAATGTCAGATTCGGACAATATTTTGAGACCACCAAGGAAAAAAATTCTAGCTTTCTCCTTGGTGCTGAAACTGTGGTGGTTTTCCATTCTAGGTTGTTTTTAACTTGCAGTTTTTCAGGTGCGAAAGAGCTAACAGTGTTTTTACCTCCATGTGCAAAGGTATTGTTTTTAGTAGGCCTGTTTGTGCTTGGTTATGTTTCTTACTTATTGGCACATGCTAGGTACACCAAGGACACTGCTGAGTAGTTAGGTGCAAGGTCCCAAAAAAGCCAGAAAGTTATTTCCTGTCTTGGGAGTCGGAAAAGCATCTATTGGATAGAATCAGCGAGAAATTCACAATAATGAATGAAACAAGAAATTCATATCTAAGAGGTTTCTTGTTGCTAATGAGATGAAGATCAGCTCATGCAGACATGGTTGATGCTTACATATCGTGATCCATACAGGAAGGGGCGGTACAGGGTTTCGATGGGTGTCTCCATGTTGTTTCCTGCTCGGATGGTTGGGTCTGCGCCTGCCAGCATCAGGTCACGCATCACCTCTGGTCTGCCCTGGGGGTACATTTACGCATGCTTTAAGCTGTGCTAAAGCAATCATCGTAAAAACAAATAGTGATGGTTTTGGACACAAATACTACACAACACAAATATTTTTTTAAACTTTGACCTTTATTGACGGACCTTTTTAAGAACTAATCATTTGCTGACAGAACATATCCTCCATGCAGCTACTGTACTGCAGCTGCAATAGAAATGACTAGAAGCAGGCAAGATGCAAGAACTTTTTATAAGCCACTAGTCTATTCTTAGAATCTGAAAATGTTGCATTTGTGCTACAAACTTTTTCTAGGCTCTTTCTCTCTGTCAACTGTATTAGTATGTAAACTTACTAAATGTGTCATATTTTTGTCAGTCATACATGTATCATTTGCTATAGGATTAGATTCATGTATGCATGTACAAATCCAGGACCCCACTGTAAAGCAAAGCCTTGCTATTGGAATGGGCCACCCTGACTAAATAAAACAGAACTGAACAAATGAATACAACTGTGATTGGCATGTAGTCATAATAAGGACACAACACAATAAGCCCCTTGTCAATCTTCAGGCACATTATAATAAGGACACAACACAACAAGCCCCTCCTAAATCTTCAGGCACCTCTTCAGCTGTCCTGTGCAGTGGTGTGAGGCCCTCCTCGGGAGCACTGTTTATGGCAGCTGCTCCGCCGGGAGTGGAGGTCAAGGCTGCAAACATCTCTGCAGAGTTACTGTGGCCTTTACTCAAAACAAGTTGGTACGGTGTGTTCCCTATAGGGAGAAAACACAACATAGAATAGTGCACATTTGCCTATTTGACATCACCAGGGATGTTGGAGGGTGCTGGAATAGACAAAAAAAAACATTATTATGTAATTTATGTTGCTAATGGTTGATAAGGGTGGAAAGGGATGATAAAAGTGTAACGTTTCTCTATGAGGTAGGAGGTTTACAGTGTAGAAGGCAGTTGTTTCAGTATGATATCTGCAAAAAAACATTGACTGTGATTGAGCACTACAGCAAAGAAAATTGTCATCCTTACCTTCCTTGTCTACTTTGCTTGGGTCTGCACCGTGTGACATGAGAATCTTTACTGCCTTGCAGTTACCCATTCTAGCTGCTAGGTGGAGTGGTGTACATTTCTCCTTGTCAGCTTGGTCCATGTTTGCACCTGTTTGTAATATCAGACATTATGATCAAATTCATGCTACTCCAGATGGAAAAAAATGTGTATGGATGTTTTGTATTTTCGTACTTATGTTTTGTTACTGTTATTTACACATGCCACTGCCTGGCACACCAAGGACCCCATTGATTTAGTGTAAAAGTCTTGTCTATTTACCGGCTTCTATGAGGGATTCTATGATAGCCTCGACTGGCTCCCCTGTTGCCCAGAGGGCTGCCTCGTGTAGTGGAGTCCTTCCCATGGCATCAGTGATGGTCACATCTGCTCCCATAGTCACCAAGGCCTCCACTATGGACACATTGCCTTAGCACAGCAAAAATATCAGCAAATCAGTCAGCAGGCATCAAAGGTAAAGGTCCTATAGCCTTTGAGGCTGTCAGTTGTGTGTCTTGGACACAGTATTGCTTTTTAACTTCTGGACATATACAGATGGTCTGGCATATGGATGTTACCACATCTGACAAAATTGCAATATTACAATCATAATGTTCTGCAAAAGGCTATCTATTTTTAAGCACTGTTCATTACTTGACTTTTGAAACAGTTGCTTTAAGACAACCAAGTAAAGACATTCTAGCTTTCTCCTTGGTGCTGAAACTGTGGTGGTTTTCTATTGGAGTTTGGTATTTATATATAAAGCATGTGGATGTGTCTTCAGAGTTACCTGTTTGACATGCCTCATGTAATGCCGTGTCCCCCTCCTTGTCCTGCCTATTGATATCACCGTTGCCCATATAAGGCAGCAGAATGTTCAGCATCTTCAGGTCTGAGCTGTGTTTCTTCTCAGCCACCAGGTGTAGAGCTGTCAGCCCTTCTTTGGTTGTCAGGCGATGGTCGGCCTGGTTGGTCAGGAGGTGTTTGGTGATCGCTGTGTGTCCATTGGTGATGGCATAATGCAGGGGTGTGTACGATCTCTTGTCTGCTAGGTTTATACTGGCTCCTGGAGAAATGCAGGACAGGCATCTCAGGAAAGAGTAGCATTGTAGCAGTAGTAGTATCCGATACTGTGATAATGTATTTGATTATACAGCTGCTGAGGTCCCTGACACAAAGGTGGGCAACAGTCTGCTAAAAGACATATCCTTTAGGGTTTTGTTTCGCAAAAGGAGATTTTCAGTGTTAAAAATCCATGCTAGACATGATTCTGTAGTACAGTTATTACCTGCTCTGATGAGAAGATCTATCTGCTTGGTTGCTTGTTGGTGCCCCATGATACACAGGACATGGAGTGGGGACAGACCGTCTTCATTCCTGCAGAGACAAGCAAATATGTCAAACCTTACACCCCAGTCTTACACAAGTGGTGTACAAATCTGACGTGTTAGTATATAGTAGAGGGGATTCATTCCTCAAGCTACCGACATCTTGCACACGCAGTCGTCCCTCAGTAAGACATCTGGAGCCGCATAGTTCCCGTTTAGAACTTTTATTCAGCCTGTCACACAGAAATCTGACGTGTTAGTCTAATGACTGTTTGCTTGCTTGTCTGTTTGTTTAGAACTTATTCAAAACAAACAACACTTACAGGTCATCAGGGTTGACCGCCGGCTGTTTCAGGGCCCAGGCCAGGTGTCTCAGGTCCCCCGACTGGATGGCCTTGTTCTTGATGCCCACAGCCTGTGCAGGGTGGGTCAGTTTCTGTGCAGGTTCCTCAGTCACACTGTGAAAATGAAAGTAACAGTATGTTATTTAAACCCAGTTCTAGCTTACTGAAGAGGTACTCTTCCCTTGGTCATGACAGAAGACAAACACTCTGTACAGTATTTACAGGTTCATGCCAGGGATATTCTCCTTCGATTTTGAAGTAAAATAAACAATGGATGGCAGCTTAATGTCCTGTCCTAAGGATTACAAGCCTTTCCATTAGTGTGCAAGTGAGCGACTTCAGCCAGGACTGGAACTCACAACCTCTTGTTCCTGACTTAAGAGGCAGGATCACTAACCATTGGACTATGCATGCTACTCTGGTCTACACAGGTATCAAAAGAAGTGGTGGGTTTCATTCCCCTCACCATGACAACATGTCAATGATGTTCTTGCGGACGTCCTCCCCCTTCCTGACGGCCAGCTGCAGGGCTGTACAGTCTGCATCAGTCTTCAGCTCCACATTCGCACCACCGTCAACCAGAGCCTGCAGCAGCAACAGCTCAACTACTCAATACCTCCCTGTATGCAGGGTTTGTTTTTAGTGTGTCTAACGTTAAGCACATATTCTATTTCATACACATATATTTTCTGGGGATTGGGCAAAACACTTATACCTTATTTGTCTTTTATATTTACCTTGACAAAGTCTGTATGTCCATCCCTTGCTGCCACATGCAGTGCAGTGTATCCCTTATCATCCTGCATGTCCAGCAGGCTGGGACACCTGTTCAACAGGAGGTCGGCAATCGCTGAGTTCCCCTTCCTCGCTGCCTTGTGCAGGGCAGTCCTGTGCCATTCCCCATCCCCAGTTATCTTGGCATCCACACCGTAGGAGAACAGGATGCCTACTGCATCAAGCTGACCTAAAATACACACACACAGGTCCATCAGTGAACAGGATAACCTAGATTGTCTACCTTATAATTAGAATGCAAAGCATTGGCACAATGTTTGGGGCATGCTTACCCTGCCTAGCAGCATAGTGTAGTGGGGTTTTGCCATTCTTGTCTGCTTTGTTCAGCAAATAGGCTGGGTCGGTCACACTTTCTAGGATTGCAACCAGGGCTTTTACCTGCAAAATAGATTAACAACATTATACAATTAAAATAGCAAGTTGAATGCTGTGACAGAAATGTAACACAAACACTGTACTCAAAATAGCTTGAAATCCATCCATCCATCCATATCTCCAGGTGTGTCCTTACCTGTCCATCCCTACATGCCTGGTCCAGGGGAGACATGCCTTTCTTGTTCCTGGTGGTGAAAGCTGGGCTGGTAGTGTACTTCAGCATGATGGTGAGGATGGGAAGACAGTCGTCATACACTGCATGGTGCAGGGCTGTGTTCCCCTTCTTGTCTCCCTTGTACATGGCTCTGCCATTGGTCTCCTCCAACACTGAGTAAATCCTCTCTAAGATTTCTGAATATCAAAGTAAAATGATTTGTGTTGGAGGCAGAGTGAGTTGTTGACACAGGATTCCAAATCAGTCCAATTCAGATGTTACTTGACATGTATGAGTTTGATTATAAATTTGATACCTGGTCTCTGTCCTGGGTCTTGCTTGGCTGTCTGTACCAAGTCCAGGAGGGTTTGAGTAGTACTGCAGAAAGTATGAGATTTGGGTTTAGGGCACTTGTGAACATTGCATAGAAAGCCATGCAGTATATTAGTTAATGCGGTTAATTCTGCCATATCTGGCTGCATTCTTATCCAATCATTCCTGATCTGATGTGAAAACATACCCGTTAACACTGTAACATGACCCCACACTCAGGCCAGACGGGGTGGGGGAGGGAATCCTGGCCATGCTTCTCTCTGCACCCACCGGGTCTTGTCTCACCCCTGCCATGTTACAGCTACTGTGTTTGTGGGGAAAAAAAGTGTCAAAAAGAAGAAAAAGTACAATGAGGATTCTGTGCATCTAAGGAATGCTGTATTGTCCATTAGTACATAACAATGAAGAAAACTATCAATAATTGAAAATCTATAATGGATTGAATGAATAATAAATCAATATATCAAATAGTTCATGAATGATATCAAGACTCATACATGTATATATGTGGCCATGTTCAATATGGCCCACTGATATTGAATCAGCATTGTATTAAGATCAATATCCTAAGATTAATTGCATATACAGAGGTCCAAAATTAGTTATTCTATATCATTTGGTGCCAGCAGTTTGATTTTGTAAAATCCATACAACCGAGTTGCCATGGGCATGTTAGTGAAATACAAAAGAATATGCAAGACTTGAACTGCTTCTGATAGTTTTTATATCCTACTAGTATATACATCATCCAGATATCATTTCTAACCAGGTTACATTAGATACATACTTTGAAGTTTTCACCAGTAAATTTCACTTAATGCTTTGTAGATCATTGCAGATGAAAGAGAAAAATCAGGACCACAGTATTTTAAGAACACCAAGGCTATGAGTACACATTTTGCCATCGGCCTCGGGCACACTTTTGAGAACATACCAGGTAACTGACAAGAAGGCAAGAATCCTCATAGAAGGAAAATCCTTAATGTTCTCAGATAAAACTGTATTGCAAATGTAGACTGACATTGTACATTACCCACCTGAATCACTCCTGTACAAAAGTGGAGTTTCACCCTATCCTCCTAGATTTCTCCTCTTCCTTCCTCTATTTCTGGGTTGGCGGTATCTGGCTGCAATGATTTGGAAACCAGTATGTTAAATCCACACATTGGAACAAAAAATAGGATATGAAATTGGTTATGAAAACAATTTTAAAAGCAAATGACCACCTTTGTGACTTGGTTTCCTGGTAACTTGTGAGATGTGGTCTTCAAACTGAATGTGCAGTGCTCCCTTGGGGTTACATCACCATGGAGACAGAGTGCAATACTGTGTAAGTAGAGGCACAATAGAGAAAGCAGTTGACATCATCAAAGTTTTTCTTCTGTGTCACTGGTCCTCATGGGAAAAACTGTAGGACTGTACAGCACACCATTATGGGAAATCTTGAGGCTTTCTATCAATATCACACCATTTACTGTTACCATGGATATGTCAAGAACTTACATGTACATGTAGTTGCTACCAGACTGTAATGGGTAGCTGGAAAAAACTGGCCAAATACTAGATTGAACAAGAAGCTGTGTGCTCCTATGGCCAGCAAAGTCCTCTGGCATATCATTCAGTCTATTTGCCCAGTTTCTAAATACTCTTCCTGCATCTAATGGAGACTAGTATGCAGATGATAGAAAATAATGAAAACAGTAAACACTCACTTGTTTTCTGGTCTATGCATGAGTCCATTCTTTACAGAAAGTCATTGAAAACTCACAGAACAAGCTTTAGGCAACAATCTATGCAACATGCTTTTTACTTCAAACCTTGGATAAATAATGACAAAAATAAGAATACTTTAATCTCCATGTACAAATAAAGGAACACACTGATAAAAAAGACCAGTATTATGTTTTTCCTACTTAAGATAAAGTTCCTACATCATATACAATAAATGCAAATGGTAGCAGCACTTCAGATGACAGATTTTTTTTATGGTTTCACTCAAAACTATAATGTCTACTAAGTAAACATACATTGTAACACTGCACTGAAAAATGTGTCCAAAAAGATCTCCAATGCAACATCCCCCAGTATAATGCTGTCCTGCATATCCAAACTATACATACATTTGTACCTGGGGGTGCTGAACTAGAGATCTCTCAAACACAAGTTTCAAAGTGGTGTAAAATACATGTACATGTATGTAACCCAGCAGAGGTTAATATGAAGAACGGAACATAACTTGGTTCCTGAAAAAAAAATACCAAAGTCAGATGTGTAGCATACATGTATATAGCAAATACAGATATATAACATTCCATTCCCTGTTTAGACATGAAATCATAACTGTGGTCACAGCTTAGGTCAGGAAGTCAACTTGAAGTTTAATCATTATGGAACGATTAACTTAATGAGTGGAACAGACATCTTATACAGATCACTGCACTGCCAAATGACACCTGTAACAGTTACCTGCTGCTTTCTGTGCAATCACACCACCTATTAAATATTTTAGATGCCTACGTTTCTGACTTCTATTGTGTTGTACAGATTCCTTGACAGAGTCATCCATCATTATGCATAACAAAACAGTAGCTTCACAAATTAAATTCATCTTTTAACAGTTTTCTTTCTTTAACCATAACCTTTGAAAGAGTTAGACTCCTTAAGAATAAATTTACTATAAGTTTGTTCATGGTTCAAACTGTGCATGCACAGTGTCGTGTACGGGGGAAATATGTCAAAGTTGACAGCCCCTGAGACATTGGGGGCCTTTACTTCGACATCGAGCATGCACAGTTAAAATTTTGATTTTCACTACCTGTTTGTTTTATTGCCTTTGTTCCCCATCTTATGAGGTTAGACATATATACTTGCACTTTGGATGTCGAAGTTTAAAGAATAAAAACTTAAAATTGATTGCTTAGAATATGCCTTCAAATGATTAAACTTGAAACATTATGTGATTGCACTCATTTTTCAACTGTTGTAAGTTTTGAAGAAATTATACCAGATTAATATCGCCTTTGTTGACCCATAGTGTGAAGATTTCATTTGTCTCAAACCTATATTTTCTCTACTATGAGATTGTTTGAATGAATGTAATATTATACTAGTAATAGAAAAATGCCCATACCAACATAAGTACAACAGGTATGATTCCTAATCCTACACAAGTCTCACTACCAGATAGAACCATTATTCTTCATAACTTGTACAAACTAAATGACAGACACCCTCTCCACTACTGTATTTACAATTGTCATTTTCACATGACAACACAAGCTGTTCTACACAAAACCATTTAGAATAATAAAAGCAGTATAACCAACTTATGCACTTATACTCATTAAAGCATTGCAATACAGGATGCTTTCATTCACATAATATACACAATGTACTTATATACAACAGTCAGCTCCAAAAAGAAAACTGAATATCCACTGGCACTGCCACTTTCGTAAAGGTACATTTAGGCCACATCAATTCTGTGTCTTTGCAGGAAAATAGTGCATTGTCCTTTGACACACCCAAGTGCAACCATAGGAACCACTAAGCCACATTATACCAGGCTGGTTAGCAAGTAGATTTCAAACTTTATATACATGTTTTGCAGCATTTGTAGAGATTCACTCAACTTCCTAAAATCTAAGAGCAGCAAATATTCATCAATTCGGGTTGATGACAATATTGATGACATATACATTGGAATTACAAATTTTGCACAATATTAAGTTTTCAAAATTAATAAGTACTGATTTTGGACAACTATGCTGACCTGGTCAGCAGTGCTGTGTGGATTTCAATAGATGTATGTTTTTGCTGCAAAGTGACTAGATTCAGCTACATGTGCAAATGTACAATGTAGTCTAGCCAGCATCCATCCTATTCTAGTTCCAGTCCACTCCCACAAGCACTTTCCCCCACAGAACAGTCTGGTATCCATACAGATGAGGATTGAACTTCCAAATGCCGGTCCAATCCCAGGTCAATCAGTTTTCAAGATACATGACCCTGAACCAATCAGAGCTATTGTTTACATTTGAGGCAAATATTCAACTGTGAAATATGTCAAAGTGTGGGACATCACTATCAAATACAATTATATAGTTAACCAGGCTATTAAATCTGTAAAGGGAAGTGATTAGAGGAGTAGATTAGACTGGATCCCAGGCTAGACTGCAGCCTTACACGGCCACATCTGCAGCCAGTCTGCTGTAAGTAAAACTCAAGGCACCCGTCCCTGTCTCTCTCTTCTTCTTCCAGACACACAGCCCCCCCACCGCGGTCAGGATCACCAGGATGATGATGATGGTTGCAGCAGTAGGCACGGCGTAGTTGATGCTGCGGGTATGGTGATGTTTGGGGTGGCTGGACGGTGAGTGGGTGCCGGGGTTTGCCGGGTGTGTGACGTTGACTGGGACGTTACAGTTGTTTGTGTTACAGCAGCACACTGTGGACTGTTTGCCACTTGGACCAGTAACCTATGAGTAAGGAATAAGCATGTGAAACTGTTGTCCTTGTAACAAGTACTAGTATACATTCACCTATGTCACCTTTTAAGCACACATACTTTTCCAATACATACTTTTTAATTGCAAAATTATTTGATAGTTGCTCCTCTCTGTAGTTTTTATTGCACAAGTTAAAGATTGTAAATATCAGTGCAATTCACAATTTTTCCTGCACGGCCACTTTGGACTATACTTCCTCAAATAAATAAATCACTTCTGTTCCTACTACATGTACTACAAATTAGCCCTTGTTAGCTAGGTGTAAACCACTAGTCCTATATACAATGTAGTATTTTGATCTTACATTTTTGCAGCCAGGTTCAGTAAAGCCATTATTGATGCAGACATCTCTATAGTCCACCACACTGCAGCTGTACAGTCCGCTAACAACTGTGCCATTCACATGGTCCAGGCTGGACACACAGAACCTGGTATCTGCTGAGCAGGGAGCTTTGACAAGCTTTTTCTTACCTGGAGAGTAGAAAAAGATTTTTTTTTTACAATTATTAAATTAATCATTACCTCTTAACCCTATCCCTGTAGCTGTACTGTCTAAACAATGCAAGCTGTTCCCTAAAAGGTCACCACAGTGATGAATGGGTTACCAAAAATTGCAGCTACATGTATAGATTTGATACATAGCCGGTGGTACAAAATGTAGATATAGAGGTATCTAAAGCATGCTTTCATACTGGCATGGTTTTTACTTAAATTTCAACTCTAACACTTCATAGCTAAGCTTCATATATAAACTGAGTTACATGTATGGAATTGACCCCAAATGCAGCACTAAATGCTAAATGTTTTTTCATAAATTTGAAGCATCAAAGTAACTCGTAGTTTGAGCTGCATTCATTTTAAGTACATGTTAACTAGTACATGTACTTCTAGAACTAGCCTACACTAGTCAACTCCTCTGCTCTATGGCCAACAAGCCCCAAAGAAAATTTTACCACCCCCCACCCTGAGTTTCTCGTGGTCGAACTCAGGCAAACAGCCTAGCAATCCAGGCTAGAGTACAACCACTGTAAACTTCATCAGTCTTACCAATCTGACCACTGTAACAGGATTGCACAATGGGTGAGTTGCAGTTATCGCCATTATTGCAACAGTACAAGGTGCCCCTCTCTCCATTCCAGGTTACCTAGCAATCAAGCAGGAAGTTAGAAGTTAGTAAGATGAAATGTTAGAAAAATCAGTTTGTCTCTAACGTTGCCTATATGTTTGCTTTTAATGTTTCAGTACTATTGACAATTTTAAAAGAAAAACGATTTAAGCAAAGACAGTAAACACGTAATACTGAGAGAAAGGGGTTCTGCATTGCATACTGAGAGGAGGGAGCTCATAAAAGAAGCCACCATACCAAATTCTATTCTAATTCTTCCACATGTTACAGACAAAAAAAAACTATGTAACATTAACTACCCTCTTGCCAAATCAGAACCTCTGTTTCAGAAAAATGAGTAAAACCCGACAAGTTAGAACTTACATGTAGAGCCAGCATTTAGACTACATGTAGTTAGAGTAGTCATATTATAGCATTCTTCATAGTTTGTCTTTGTCATGCTAAACTAAAATTACTTATTATCATTTGTTTGAACCTTCTTTAAGTACAAATGGTCTCCAAACAGCTGAAATCTTAATGAATGAAAGACAACACAACACCTTGTGATCAAATGTTCCATTCTTCCCTTGGCACAGGTTGTTGGTGTCACATCCATACTGAACCTTCCACTCCACAGCTTTCCCAACCTTCAGACTACCTGAAGACTTCTCAACTGCAAACCTAAGACACATGGGAACAACACCTGGCGCTCTGGTAGGCAGAGGTGGTGTTGGTTGGTTTGTAGTGGGAGAAGTAGGCACAGTCTTGGGTGTAGACAGATTAACTGTGGTTGGTGTTGGTTCTGTGATGATGGTGGTGTGATGTTGTACAGGTGTTGGAGTGGGGGAGGTGGGCGATGGACTGTCTCGTTTTTCCCGAGCGGCACACTGCTTCACCACGGGAAATTCAGGATTGTCTGTCCCATCTTCTGTCATGCCATTGTAACAGGAATTAGCACCACTGTAATGGAAAAAGAAATCAGAGATTTCAGACTTCTGAGATTCCCCCATGTGGACTCTGGCTCTGGCTCATGGAGACCTTTGACCTCCTCTCATTCTGCCTGTCAATCTTCCCCTACCCACATGCTGTCAACCTACTCTCAGATACACAAACCCATAGCTCAGCCACCCAAAAATCTTGACATACTTGGGAGTTAGTAGAATATTCTTCATGTTTGGAAGTTTAAAAAAAATGCTTTTGGTTTCTTGCTGATAGTCAGTTAATACTTGGTAGACATGTATTTCGAGATCTAAAGAATCGCCCAACCTTTATTGTAGAAACTTCTGACACAGACGCATTGTGCATTCCTGTACCATATTATTAAATCACACAATGGTGATTTGGTGATCCTTCTTGCATCCTCAGAGCATAATTTCAGATCCCCCGGGGCCCAACTGCAATTACGTGACCCTATTTTGACCATCACTTGAGTCCCAAAGGAACTACTTAAAGCGGCATCGAAGAAAACCTTACCCATGGGAAGAAATGTGAAGCGTAATCAACAATATCAGCAACCAACTTCCGTGTTTACAGCTGATAGCCGCCATCTGTTAACCGCCGAAATGAGTCCTTAGCATGGTTCACAGAATTTATCATAGCGCAGTCAGAATCGGGAAAGCCAGGCTAAAATATATGTCGTTGTAATCCTTACAAGTCAGGGAACCTTGGGAAGTTCACTTGAAGATCACACTTGTACACAAAAACGAGCTTTGTAGCGTCAAAGTTGACCTTTATTCGCTAGCTAAGAACTCATTTTGGCGTAGGTTTTCGAACTGTATGGGGGTTTCCGTGATACCGCTAATCCCATCTACTTCCGGGTCACGGCTTACGAGGTTCGGTTACTAGTATATTACACGCCGAAGAGCGAAGGAAACGTTGCGGAGTGAAATTTCATGAAAAAAAGCTCTTAAAAAGCCGCGCCTATAAGGTTTCGCAACTTCTTCCCAAAAATCCAATTACGCTTTGGCGAGTATATTAGGGTCTGCCCTCCGTGTCTATCATATAAATGATACACGTAAACGTCGGGTCGTCCTCGAAGTACCTTATGTATCATTTCAATGATACGTGTAACTACCTAGGTTTTCCAAAGTCGGACTGACTTCCAATATAGTAACCCCACTATCATATCTACGCATGTGTGAGACGATAAAAAAATCCCTTCACCCTTTGGCGAGTACTCTTTCTCGCAAAGGCGATTATGGTCTGCCCTCCGCGTCTATCATATAAATGATACACGCAAAAGTCGGGTCGTCTTCGAAGTACCTTATGTATCATTTCAATGATACGTGTAACTACCTAGGTTTTCCAAAGTCGGACTGACTTCCAATATAGTATCCCCACTATCATATCTACGCATGTGTGAGACGGGTACACTGTACCAGCAATCATTTAAATAGCTAATAGAAGAGTTACCACTTGGCTCTTAAAAAGCCGCGCCATAAGGTTTCGCAACTTCTTCCCATAAATCCAATTACGCTTTGGCGAGTATATTAGGGTCTGCCCTCCGTGTCTATCATATAAATGATACACGTAAACGTCAGGTCGTCCTCGGAGTGCTATTTGTATCATTTCAATGATACGTGTAACTACCTAGGTTTTCCAAAGTCGGACTGACTTCCAATATAGTAACCCCACTATCATATCTACGCATGTGTGAGACGGGTACACTGTACCAGCAATCATTTGATAGCCAATAGAAGAGTTACCACCTTGAAGAAGAATTGGCTTTTACAAAGCTGTGCCTTTAAGGTTTCACTGTCTCCATGTAGTATTTTTTTGCATCGATTTAGGTTAGTCACATGGTCTTCAAGGTGAAAAGGTAAACTTCAGGTATTCTGGCACCTATTTAGGCTTTTTCAAAAGTTGGACTGACTTATGACTTCCGGGTGTTTCATTGTAATGATACAAGTGATAAACTCGCAATACCTTCTGGTTGTACCAGCGCAATTTATTATTTTTTAATGATACAACAGGTCAACTATAAACTAGATCTACAATCATCACAATATTTCCTAAGAGGAGCCTGTCTTAAGTCTAAAGTCATATTGTATACACGTGTTTATACATTTCGTTACATTTCACGGTTTCTCATTAATCTTGCAACTTAAATAAATCCTGTATGCATACATTATATACATATGCTTATTCAAAAGCATATTGTCTGAAATTCTAGGTGTCAAACCCATATGGTATCTGCATCTAATTACTAGTATTGTTGTTTATACATGTTATGAATTACACTTTGTCAAAGTCAATCACGTCCTGTATGTGTAGTTACATTTTGTGTGAAATACAAGGTGTCAAAGGACGACCCGACGTTTACGTGTATCATTTATATGATAGACACGGAGGGCAGACCCTAATATACTCGCCAAAGCGTAATTGGATTTATGGGAAGAAGTTGCGAAACCTTATGGCGCGGCTTTTTAAGAGCCAAGTGGTAACTCTTCTATTAGCTATTTAAATGATTGCTGGTACAGTGTACCCGTCTCACACATGCGTAGATATGATAGTGGGGATACTATATTGGAAGTCAGTCCGACTTTGGAAAACCTAGGTAGTTACACGTATCATTGAAATGATACATAAGGTACTTCGAAGACGACCCGACTTTTGCGTGTATCATTTATATGATAGACACGGAGGGCAGACCATAATCGCCTTTGCGAGAAAGAGTACTCGCCAAAGGGTGAAGGGATTTTTTATCGTCTCACACATGCGTAGATATGATAGTGGGGTTACTATATTGGAAGTCAGTCCGACTTTGGAAAACCTAGGTAGTTACACGTATCAATGAAATGATACATAAAGCACTCCGAGGACGACCCGACGTTTACGTGTATTATTTATATGATAGACACGGAGGGCAGACCCTAATATACTCGCCAATTGGATGTTTGGGAAGAAGTTGCGAAACCTTAATGGCGCGGCTTTTTAAGAGCCAAGTGGTAACTCTTCTATTAGCTATTTAAATGATTGCTGGTACAGTGTACCCGTCTCACACATGCGTAGATATGATAGTGGGGTTACTATATTGGAAGTCAGTCCGACTTTGGAAAACCTAGGTAGTTACAAGTATCATTGAAATGATACATAAGGTACTTCGAAGACGACCCGACTTTTGCGTGTATCATTTATATGATAGACGCGGAGGGCAGACCTTAATCGCCTTTGCGAGAAAGAGTACTCGCCAAAAGGGTGAAGGGATTTTTTTTATCGTCCCACACATGCGTAGATATGATAGTGGGGTTACTATATTGGAAATCAGTCCGACTTTGGAAAACCTAGGTAGTTACACGTATCATTGAAATGATACAAAAAGCACTCCGAGGACGACCCGACGTTTACGTGTATCATTTATATGATAGACACGGAGGGCAGACCCTAATATACTCGCCAATTGGATTTTTGGGAAGAAGTTGCGAAACCTTATTGGCGCGGCTTTTTAAGTGGTAACTCTTCTATTAGCTATTTAAATGATTGCTGGTACAGTGTACCCGTCTCACACATGCGTAGATATGATAGTGGGGTTACTATATTGGAAGTCAGTCCGACTTTGGAAAACCTAGGTAGTTACACGTATCATTGAAATGATACATAAGGTACTTCGAAGACGACCCGACTTTTGCGTGTATCATTTATATGATAGACACGGAGGGCAGACCATAATCGCCTTTGCGAGAAAGGGTACTCGCCAATTTTTGGTAAGAAGTTGTGAAACCGTAACGGCTTTGCAAAGGTCACCTTTCTAGTTGATGATTATTTTATACTTATGTTTAAATCATGTGATTTCTGTATCCCACGTACTCATGCATGGTGTCCTATCAGCCTATATGGGCTGGGCGACAATATTTATGCACTCCGAAGAAGCCTGACTTTTACCAGTATGATTGCAATTATATACACGGGAGACGATTTTGCAACGATTGAGATTTTTAAAGTCGGACTGTCTTCATGCTGTCTAACAACAATTTTGGTAAAAATTAGGTAATTTTCGGGGCGCAATGTGATTCAGGTGAAAGTCGTGTTGTCGTCGACGTGTTTGCAACGATACAGGCAAAATGTATCGGCTATCGAATGATTGCTAGCGTACTCGTTTTTACATATGTGCATACATGTCAGTGGCTCGTTCAGTTGAAGCAAAAGAGCCATATATATAATTCTTGAGCATTCTTCCCGAAAGGGTGAGTATTGCGCAGTACACTGCCCTTAGCTTGGCAGCGGTACTTCGCCGGGTAATGACGTCGCTGGACGTGACCCGGAAACAGATGCAACCAGATACCGCGAAACCCCCATAGGGTGCGTATTTTGACGGAAATCCAATGGCGGAAACCTCGCCGAAAAATGGAAATGAGTCAACTTTGACGCTACAAAGCTCGTTTTTGTGTACAAGTGTGATCTTCAAGTGAACTTCCCGAGGTTCCCTGACTTGTAAGGATTACAACGACATATATTTTAGCCTGGCTTTCCCGATTCTGACTGCGCTATGATAAATTCTGTGAACCATGCTAAGGACTCATTTCGGCGGTTAACACATGTTTCAGTTCCTCCATCCCTCAAGTGACGTGACACTGGCAATCTATTCGTTTCAAAATTCGTTTCTATATATGACTGGACAAAAACACCAAGTTGTTCCTTTGCAACCATATTTATTAGCAAAAATCATATCAAGTAACAATATTAGATTTGTACATTTCTGTTTTTAGTAATATGAAACTTTAAAAGGAGATAACGAGATATCTTTTGAGAAATCAGGTTTGGTGGCGAATAATGTGCTACGTTTACAGCCACATGAAGTTGCACATGTGCATGTGCTGACTCGATCCGAAGTTGGATCACGTACGTTCACAAATATGACGAAAATTAAACGTCTGAAAGCCGGGAAAGGCAAGAGATGGAGGAAAGGACAGAGCAGCAGCTCCAATCCGGACGCAAAGAGCCACCGTGCGGCTGCGAGGAACAGATTTTTCAACTACGACAACCAAGGTACGCCGCCGTTGTGCATGTGGTAGACAGGGTGGGAGGGGGGCGCCGTTTAGCAGACGCCAAAGAATTCTTGGAACATCGACAATTTTTGTTGTGTCATTCAAGCCAATGAGTAATGCTTGTACAGACCTTATACCATGTATCTGTATTGCATAAAAGTGTAACATGATATAATGTAGTTGCAATATGTAGGAGTATTAAAGTTCTAGACCTAGGCTTTTTCGTGGAGGGGGGGGTACTAGTAGTATGTAACTGCGCATAATTGCATAAGTTAGCAAGTACACACATGTAGCAAGTACACACATGTAACTGCGCATAAGTTAGCAAGTACACACACGTAACTGTGCATAAGTTAAAGATGTTGATAGAACAGAAGTGGGGGCCTGCAAGGGGGGGTCCCGACAATGCTCTACGCTGAATTCGGAAACTTCTCGATTACGCTTTACAATAAATTCCAAGTGGCCACAACGCATTACGTAGAATTAAAATGGCGAATACGCTCTACGCAAAATGCGCCAATTACGCTCTACGCTGAATTAGAGAGGTCCATCTACGCTCTACATAGAATTAAAACAGCCCATTACGCTCTACGGAAAAGGGCCCCCATAAGCGTCTTGACGTCTTTATTTCACAGGAAAGGGTGACCTGACAGAGTCGGCGCTGCAGAGACATAACCAGGCTGTTGAGGATGAGGAGGGGGACACAGCGATGGGGGAGGGGGATGTACAGAGTGTGGTGGGTGGCACGCTGGCCAGCTTCAAGACTGGCTTCAGTGCCTGGTCAGACTGTACCAACGCCACCTTCAACAAGGTGGAACGATACTGGCAGTCCAACTCAGCACAGGCTCAGGAGGTATTTCTGTACCATATGCAGTGTAACGTTACATGCTAACGATTAAACAACAATACTACATGTACAAGGCAAATCTATCTTATATTTCCAACTTCAAAATATTGTAAATTACAGTAGTTATGTGAGTTACATTGTCATCATGTATGGATGATTTCTCACTTTTCCAATGAAGAAATTGACTTTCTAGTATTGGACATGACAATAGTATGGTAAATGAAAAATATTGAGCTGAAATATTTGTGAACCAAATAGGGTGAAGTGTGCCCATTAGCCTTAATAGTAGAGATATACTAACATAATTACATTATGATTTGTATTATTGTTTATTGCAAGCGCTATTGTACCTTTTTCCTCAGGTGTGTGCTGTATTGGCAGCAGTGACAGAAGTCATCAAGTCCCAGGGAGGGAAGGAGACGGAGACCGAGTATTTTGCAGCTCTTGTAAGAAGTTTTCTAAATTTAAGCTCCCTGTCACACATTCCGGACCTTCCAATTGACTCCCTTCCCAATCAGTCCCCAACCAAGATTGGCATGGGGTAGCCTGGAATCCATCATATTCCTGCTCCCGTCTGCTCCTCTTTCCAAATTTCAGCAGAATATGATTTTCCCAACTTTTGATTGTTTGATTGTCAGAATTATCAGTTTCATATTGCATGCCTATGTGATATGATGGCAGTGTTAGTTTGTCAGTGTTTTGTTCATTTCTACCCCTGCAGTAGATTATAAATTGTATGTGTATTTTTCATTCTACATTTCTCCTTTAATTTGTGCCATTAGTATTATCTGTTATAAAGTCACTGCTGTATATTTTTGTTTCCCCAACTTTCAGACCTGCAATGGTTTTATTTCATAAGGTTGGGTTGCAATATACAGCTAGAATAACGCCTGTTCTGTATAATCACTGGGCACCATTCTTTTGTTGTGCATCAGTTTTGCAGCAAAACTACACTGACTGAATTCCTTAAGTTGCTGACTTTTGTAGATCTATTGTTTCTTATGGTATTGTTTATGGTCAATGGTTACAAAATGTACATGTTTTGTATTACTCTTTTATTGTACATTATACAATGATTATGGTGATCTCCTTATTTCAATTATGATAGTAAGAAGTTGTTGTGCCTCAAGTTATTACACTAGGATAATGAGAGACAGTGGTTAGTACAGTATGTGGTTATATGTTTATCTCAGATGACAGCTCTAGAGACGGTAGAGGGTGAGGAATCCATGTCTGCAGTCACATATCTCCTGGGTCTGGTCATGAAAAAGTAAGTGTGCCCACTGTGCTGTAATAAGCCTCTTCGCAGTTTAAACTGTACTTGTGTGAGGTCCAACTGTGAAAACCCTAACTTGTAAACAGTTCTTGTCTAGACATGTAACATGTGCATGACTTACAGATGATTGGCCAAACTTGTTACAGGTACAGGAACAGGTCTGGACCTGTACCCAAACCTGTGAACCACAGCTCAAGAAGAAGCTCCACCTAGATGTTTACTATTACTTACACAATGCTTTTACTTCTCCCAGGGTACCCAGTGCCGTGCTGCAGAGCAGGTTCTCAGATATCAGTAAGTCCCTGATGAACGTCCTGGCAGCCAACATCAACACAACTACACACTCCATACTCAGATGGGTTAGTATGGCTTTTACCTGTGTGTAGAAGTTTTATATTTGGTATGTCTGACAGTGTGTACTTCCACATACAAGGATTTTAAGGTGGAATAATGTTGAAAGTTGTAAATGTGTGTTCTTCTGAACACATGTAAACCTGTGTGTGTTGTTTCTTGTCCAGACGCTGGTGTGTCTGGGTGTGGTACTCCGTCAGCAGGAGGCAGTGGTCTGGAGTGATGCCTCCACCCTACAGCTGTACCACGGGCTGCTCAGCTTCACCAGTAATGACAGACCCAGGGTAAGGAACAGATACATGTACAGTGGGCCATTAAAAGGGGCTCAGGGAAATATTTTTGGCTACAACAGTTCAGAAATACATTCTGGATAATGCAATCTCTGTGTAATTGACAGGTACCACTCTCTAACACATTTGGTTCATTCTTTTGTGTCATGGGTGTTTGAAGAAAGCACAAGAGTAAGCTCAACCGTCCACTTATATGTACTTTTAACTACATGCATTTGGACTTACTGTCTTGCTGTTGGACACACTGTACATGTATATGGCACTCTAAATGAAGCAATGACATCATGATTCCTCTCTCTGAATATTGTCATGTAATGTGATAGTGTTGATTAAACTAACCAATATATAAAGAAAAGATTAAAAAAAAGAATTACTTAGCAAATTGTCCCCAGGTGCGCAAGGCAGCTCAGCATGCGGTGTGTGGGATCCTGCGGGGAAGCCCCTTCATGACCCGTGAGAACCCCCCATCACACCACCCTGCTGCCTCCGCCACAGCCAAGTTCTGTATCCAGCAGATGGAGGAGTGTGGAGGTCAGTAGCTGAGGGGATTAATTTCTGGCAGAATGTGTGTGAGTGTGATCTTGAGGGCCAGTTACTGGGAGGGCTGCTTGCAGCATAATTTAATCAGGCTATTTTCATGTTTCCATATGTAAATTTGTGTCCTTACAGCTCCAGAGTGCCCAAATATTTGACAGATCACTCAGTGAAATTTATAGATGAAGAACAAATATTTTTACGTTTTTGTGTTTTGTTGTTATAGTATGCATCATATTCCATTTGTATAATTAAGGGTCACACAGATCCAATTTTCACTGAATGGTCACTCATTGTCTGTTGGAAAGGGGGCCTTTATCGGGTTGAGTTTTAAGTTTTCCTTGTTATGTTAACTCTGACAGGTGGGGGGGAAGCCAAACAGACCATGTACATCCTGGGTCTTCTGGAGAACATCCTTCCCATCCTGCCCCTGGCCAATGTCAAGTCCATCTGTGAGACCATCCTCAAGGTCATGACCTTGGGAAATGTGGTCAGTATTACATGCATGTACTGTACATGTACTGTTAAGTTTTGAAATGTTTGTAAGTTCATGACACGTACAGTAGATAATGTATTTCCAATGTATTGCTACTGTACTACAGAATTGTTTCAAGCTAAACTTCTAAAACAAGTCTTTTGTTTCTCTCAAAATACTTTTAGATGACTTGTCCTATTGCATGGAAAAGCACTGCTATGGCAGCATTGTGAGATTTCATATAGGAATTCAAGAAAGTTGCAGTTATAGCCTTTTGTGATAAGAATTGACAATGTCATGTGTTTCCGCCTGTGTGCAGCTGGTGACATCAGTGTCCATGAAGACTCTACACGCCTTCTTCAGAGCACAGCCCAAACACCTGTCCCCAGAACTTAACGCACAGATCATCTCTGTAAGTTCAATTCTGAGCAAACACAATACACCTTTTTTTCTTCTACCTTTATCATTACAACAACAGATGTCAAGGCATGATTGTGTATGATATATGTGATCTTGTGTTAGAAATTGCAGTTCAACCTTGTTTCAGCTAGAATTTTGTCTTTCAACACATAGAAAGATTGAAGCTCACATACATGTCCGTTGTCTCCTGTTGCAGGCCCTGTTTGACTACCAGCCGGGTGAGAATGATGTCCAGCCCACACAGGCTTGGCTCACTCTGATGCAGGCAGCTCATGTCAACCTAGCAGGGTAGGTTTACATTTCTTATAGACCTGCTGCACATTTTAGACTGTATCACAGAAGCTCATTCTGTTACAAAGACTGGACTTGGCCAGTGGAAATTTTGGGTCCAATTTTTGTGTTAAAAATTACAGTTCAACCTTGCTCTGGATTGATTTCTACCAACACAGATACCTTTAGGCTAAATGATGTTTCCTTCTATCTCCAGTTTGAATGACCAGCTGTGTCTGTCCCATCTTCCCCGGATGTTCAATGCCTCCATGGAGTGTCTGTTGTCAGAGAAACCAGCAGTTGCCTCCTCAGCTGCAGAGACTATGAAGGTAGGCAGTCTTTGATCATCTGGGCAGTGCACCTATAAAAGTTAAAAGTTTTTAACAAAAATGCCCTTGCAGTTTTAGAACAAGTTGCTGGATGGCCAACCTACAACACACTTTTTTCTACTAAGAAAATAGACCATAGCATGTTCACTACAAAAGATTTGAAAAAAAAGGATGTTCCGCTGCAGTACCAGGAGGTCCAAAATCTTCCAAGACCTACCCATGTACCAAATATAATTACAATATAGTCATAACTGCCTAATCTAAACTGACCAAAAAGATTTAGAAACACAAATAGACAGACCAGTATATAATCACAATGCCAATGTTCCAGTGACTGTCTATCACCTTTCTCAGACAGTCTGTGCCTAGACTAGAGAAGGATGTACTTGTAGCATGTTTGACATGTAACATGCTCCACTTTCCAGAACCTGTTGAAGAAATGTGTGGAGCCATATGCAGATAGAATTGCTCTGTCTGTCAACAATGCACCGTCAGGATCCCAGACTCATGTACACAAGATATTTGGGTAAGCTTAATCCAGTCTTTGGGTCTTTTTAGGTGACAGGGTGGCCTACTGGTTAAGGTTGTTGACTGGGGTCTGAGTGTGAATCCCTTGGGACCTATTAGGGCCACTTAACATCTATTCAATGAACCCTCCCCTATTAGTAGAGGTCCATCCATTTTAGGGGGCAAATTTCTAATTGATTTATAATTGATTGTGCAGTTTTGTGGCACTGTTAATGGCCCAGTTAAAGAAGGATGAACACTGGCCTGAAGAAAGCCTTGCATGTCCTTTTTGATACAACATTTTAATTTAGATTTATACATGTGCCAGTAAAATAGATTGTAAGTTAATTGCTTTGTGTCTGTTGAATGATGAAGTTTGTGTTGTTGTGTCTCACCTTCAGCTGTGTGGAGGCAGGGTTACAGTACAGATTCCATGCAGCATGGGGGAAGGTTATCCAAGTACTAGCAGTCTTCTTTGAGGTACTGAACTTAAGATGTACAGATGAGATGTATCTTCCTTTATTTGCATGTGCTTTACAGGTCTCTGACTGCCCAACAATTGTACCAGATACAATGCATTGTATCTACTGCTATAGAATTATGTAGGATGGATAAGAATGTGCTTTTACAACCATGAAATTTCTAGTGTCTAGGCATTTACAAACTGACGTCCCTGTACTTGCAGGTACTGGGAAAGCGTTGCCACAGCCTGATGAAGAGATGCCTGGCATCTCTCGCTGACCTGCGAGGCAGCCACAAGTTCCCCCACACCCAGGAGGTGGACCGAGCCTTGGGGGTGGCGCTGCGGGCGATGGGACCCAGGGTCGTACTGGAGGCCGTTCCACTGCAGATTAAAGGGGACGAGTAAGCAAAGCTTATTTTGCATTCTAAGATTTTGGTAAGATGCTGTGCACTGAGCAATCTTTCCTCGGGCATGTAACAGACTTTTACAAAGATTTTTTCTCATTGTTTTTGATTGCTAATATAACTTACATGTATGTTGGTTGTTATTGATCTTAGGTCTGATGACATAAACTTCCCCCGAAGTTGGCTCCTTCCAGTCCTGAGAGACCATGTCAGAGACACAGAACTGGGCTTCTTTGTCAAGTATTTCCTGCCTCTAGCTGCACAGCTCAGAACTAGGGGTAAGGAAAAGACGAGTGTGTTAGTGCTAGTACATAGTCAGTAATTCTGACCAATGAATGTTTATCTGTAATGGTAATTGACATTATAAATATTTTATCCACTATATCTGTACACAGTTAAGTGAACAGTCCTCTGAAATAACCCAAAGGCTATGTCACCTCCCAACCAAGACAATGTGATGTGATGTGAATCAAGACAAGAGCTGATTCTTTGATCTGTTGCTGACATCACACTTCCAGTCACCTCATGTGACGTAGGCTTTGGGTCATTCTAACTTAGGAATGATCAAAAGCTTGTTGTTAAGCACTTGTGTATGGAAACAGTGTATAAAACCTTTATTATATGGTCTGTTGCTTCCCTCAGCTCTAGAGCTGCAGCAGGAGGGCAAGTCTGTGCTGTCCAAGGCTTACGACACGTTACAGCACCAGATCTGGTCAGCACTGCCTGGCTTCTGTACCAGACCCACTGATCTGGCACAGGTAACAGTTAACAACTCATACCATCATATCTACCAGTACATTTGATAATAGTGATTATTCCTTTCTTATGTTGTGTTTTTGTTTTTCTTCAAACTACTGTTGCAAGTGAGAAACAGTCAGTACTACTGAGCTGTACAGTTATTGCACTGATTTCTCCTTTTATCTCCAGTCCTTCAAGGGCATTGCTCGTATTCTGGGGTCTGCCATCACGGACAGACCTGACCTACGGAATATGGTTCTGCTGGCTCTACGTACACTACTTTCCAAAAGCACTGACACAGGTAAAGAGCTTTCCCTCTCGAAATGTTGACTCTTTGGTCTTTTGGAGCTGGTGAATATACAATGAGATTTATTATCATTTTACTTATTGTATGTACAGTAACTAAGATAGGATTGTCTCAAAGACTTGATGCTTTGATCAATCAGATGTGCAATTGATAACCTTTTGATTCCACACAGAAGAGAACAGGAAGGAACTGGGGAGGTTTGCTAAGAACTACCTGCCCATCTTGTTTAACATCTACACCACCGAGCCAAAGGAGGGAGACCCTACTGTTCTACCTGTGCTGGCAACTGTCAAGAGTTATCTCACTGTAGCACCTGCTCAGGTTGGCAACAATAATTTGGTTTTTGTTGTAACATTTTTTTCCTTAGAACTATTGTAAAGTGGAATTTTAGCAAAGTACAAGGTTCATTGAGTTCATATGTGTGAGCTAAACTGGTTCCAGATATCTTTCACTTTCCCTTCCAACACTCATGTTTATCCCCCCCCCCCCAGTTGGTACATGAGCTGCATGATAAGGCTGTCCAGAAGATGGAGGCACCAGACACGACTCAGTATGCCAAGAACGGGATCAGGAGCCTGCTGGCAGCCCTGGTGCCGTACATCGACCAGACCAGACTGGCTAACTCCTGCCAGATCACTGCACCACTGTTGGAGGTGGGTCAAACAGAAGAAAACTCTACTTTTGCTTCTTCTGAATGATTCTTTTACATCCTTGAATTTTTTGTAGTCCTTGACAAAAAGAAGTAACAGGAGGGGTGACTCACTGTTTCATTTACTTGTACAGTGGTTTTATTTGGTCTAGAAGGAGAAAGGTTTTTCCAGTTTTTTTAATTCATGGTCGAAACAAATCTGGTACAGCAGTAATAGTTTACATTAACAAAATATGGTACATTGTAAGTGCATATTAACTGTGTCATGAATTTGTGGCAGAGAGGTCACTGTAAAAACACTGCCAATGTAAATGATTGGAGGAAAGCCTTGTTACAGGATTGTACAAAAAGAAATTCACTACCTTACGTAGGTACGTTACTGTCCACAGTGCTGAAACTGCAGCTGCTGCTGCTGTCTCTACTTTCTTTTCCCCATATGAAAAACCATTAGTATCATGCTAATCTTTATAGTTGAACTTACTGCTGTTACTGGATTGTAGGGAAGAAATTCACTAACTTCCAGTACCTAGGAAGGTTAATGTCCACAGTGCTGAAACTGCAGCTGCTGCTATTGTCTCTGCATGTATTCTTTTCCCCATATGAGAAACCATTAATATCATGGTAATCTGTATAGTTGAGATTACTGTTGTGTCTATTCTCACTGTGCATAGAAGCCTAACTCATACTTTTTGGTTTTGTAGGCAGTTAGAATGATTAACTGTGATTTCACATATCTCCCCAGAGTAAGGACATCACGGTACAGAAGAGAGCGTACCGTATGTTGGAGGAGATGGTGTCCTGTTCTTCAGAGTCATGTCAACAATTTGTAGAGTCTCACCTGGGACAGCTGCAGACACACCTGCTGGGGACCATCTCAACCTCCAAGTCACCTGCCAGAGCTGTATGTACACCTGTGGAGATTTGTACCTGATGTATTGATTGATGAGAAATCATTCAGAATATCCTGTATAAGACAGTTCACAGTTTGTACTGTTCTTGTCTAGACCTTTCAAGATAGATAATTTTGTCCTCAACTGTAATTGATATGTTGTTGGGTTTTGACTTAAACAGTTTTAAAGTTTGAATTATATTTTGTAACAGCCGAGACTGAAATGCCTGATCCATGTGGTGAAGAGACTGCCATCTGATCGAGAGGACTTTCTCAAGGCAATACTTCCCGAGGTAAGAAAGAATAATCAAGCAAAGTGGTTAATTGGTGAAACAAGAAACTTGCAGCCAGAGGCTGTCCTGGGTATAAAATGGAGGTTGCAGTCTGTACAAGACTGGCTGTCTGGGCACTGTTACTTATTGTTTGTTTGTTTGTTTACAGGTTATCCTGTGTACAAAGGAGGTTGCAGTTCGTGCCAGACTGGCTGCCTTTACCCTGCTGGTGGAGATGGGCCAGGCTTGGCTCAGGTGTCGAGGTTCACAGGACAGAAAAGGTAATTGTTTATTTACTGGCAAATGTTACAATACCTAACACTGGGTTTCAGGTGTTAGGTGGGACTTGAAACATGTTTTAGACCTGTATCTCTTTAAGCATGGGACCTCCAGCTTTACGTCCCTCCCTAACCAAAGCTAGGTACTGACTCCCACCTGAGTCGAATGAGGAATTAAGTGTTAAGTGCCTTTACCAAGGGTACAACATTGGTGCCTGCCAGGGATTTGAACCCAGAACCTTTATGTTCTACATCAACAATCCTAACCACAGACCACCCTGTCACCTTTTGCAGATGCGATGGAGGAGTTCCTACAGCTGGTGTTTGCAGGCCTGGGCGGGTCTAACCACATGATGAGTGCCACTGTACTGGCCCTCACCAGACTCATGTATGAGTTTAAAGGTCAGGACACCCATGCTAGTGACTTTCACCCCGTCTTTCCAAAACAATTTGAACTTAAGCTTAGTGATATGAAAAGAATATTTTCATCAGCTTAATGTGACAGATTTAACATGAAAATTTGACCCCTATGGCCTAGATATTCATGGATGTTGTGATCTTGTTTATCTAAGTCTGTAATGCCATCATCTTTAGTGGATGATCAGAGACTTTAGTGATACTATCAGGAAAGTGTTCATGCAGACATTATTTCCCTCACAGCCTGATACTTCAACTCTTAGGCGACATGCCTTTCACATACTGAACTACAAGGCTGAGGGCTTAAGCTTTAATAATACGATTTACTTCAAAGTAGGAGGCTTTAATTGCGAGTCTAGTGATCAAATAGAAAGGAGGCAAATGTGATAAGGATGAAGACAAGAAAAACAAAATGATGCTATTAGTAGTGTATTCAGATAGACATCCTCTTTTCATGGTTGATCAAGTATAAAGACCCATTTTGAATACAAAAGCTACAAGGCTATGTCTGTGATTTATGACTCCATGTGAAGTTGAAAGTTGTGGCTCCTTTGATTTGCAGTTCTTATATCCAGTGGGTATTCATTCCAACTCACTACACCTCTATAACACCCCTGTCCTCTAGAGACTGCAACTGCTGAGCAATCCAAAATTTGATAGATTGCTCAGCACAATTTCATGGACAAAAAAAAAAGATTTTTTAAACATTTGTGTGTTGTCTTCTAAGGCATACTTGAACATAACATATTCTAATTATAACATAAAAGGTCACTCAAGTCCAATTTGGATCGCTCAATGGGCAATCCTAAGGGAATGTTGTAACATTAATCAGTGATCCTGTATTGTGTGTTCCTCCTCCCCAGACCTGATCTCAGCCAGTCTGCTGAGTCAGCTGGTGGAGGGCATCTGTCTGGTGCTGTCCTCCAAGGCCAAGGATGTGGTCAAGTCTGCGCTGGGCTTCGTCAAGGTGCTGGTCATGACCACAGACAACATCACCCTGGCACAGCATGTCAGACCGCTGGTAAGTTTGTTTTGCTCAATGCAAGTCCAAAAGACCACTTCTGAACACTATGCTAAGCTGGTGGCAGGTATGCTGTTTTCTAGTGTTTAGGAGGAAATCACTTGTCAGAGAGAGGTAGCAGTCTGTAGAAAGAAGCTGTAGAAAGACTTAGTGACTGGTATTTGGACAGTGTAATGACAACATCATCTTGGCACAGCACTCATAATCAGGTCCCAGTGTATACCTGCTATACGTGTAGGGTTAGCCATATGGCTAAGGGTGTCAAAATACAAACAGCATGGCCCAAAAGACCACTTCTAAATATGAACACTGAAGAAAGTTGGGGGGAGGTACATGTATACATGAGATGCTAAGAAACCTCTGGTACAGCATAGTGTTTGAGTTTGGCTGGCTCTGAGAAAGTGACAGTGGTCTCAAACCAGTAAAAGTTTTTCCTAGCATATTGTTACTACATGTACATAGAATGTTTTAACCAGTTGCTCAATGTAAGGCCAAAAGACCACTTCTAGACTCTTAAGTTGTTGGGAGGTGTGGGTGACTCTGCTAGGAGATAATGGTCTATAACTTAATAGATTGAAACTTTACCACATTTTCAGGTATTCAACAGTGCCACAAAACTTCCACAAAGTCAAGTTGAACTAAACCATTTGAAATTTTGTCCCCCAAAATAATATCTCCTAGGGAGCAGGACCCCTGTAGACTTCTCTGTCCTTCGATGTCTGACACAGGGTTTAATTCACTCCATCAAAGTGACAGGACAGACCAAAATCAATAATGTACTCAGAGCAATCAATCAATCATGCAGAGGATGTAGACACCTCTCTCGAGGATATTGTACAGATGTATTTTCAGCATAGGACCCCTAGTTGGCTCAGGTAACCCTTTAGCTCTCTAAGATTTAGTCTACAAAACTCTACAAACCAATGAGATGCTCAGATTAATCAATCATCCATCCATGATCATCTGGAGCTGATGTATGGTGGAGGTAGACATCTCTCTTCGGGATGTTCTATTTTTGGCACAGGACCCATATCTCTCTACAAAACTGTTGAAGACTCTACAAAATTGTTCTGTTGCACTAGTTTGTTTTTTCATTCTGTCTCTCACTCAGTCACTTGCTCGCTCACACACTCATTCTCAGTTTTAATGTCTGTTATCCCCTGTGAGGCTTGCACGTTGATGCTGAGGTCTGATGCTGTTCTGGCCTGCCATTTGCCTCTATGGGTTCACACTCATGGATTTTTATCTTCCACATTCAGTGTAATGATCTTTCCAGGCCACCTTTCTATGTCCATTCTATGGAGGTGACCACACCATCAAAGTTGGCTGGATCTTACTACATCCTGAAACCTATGGACTCCAAGTCTGGTCCTTAACTATTCAGTCAGCTGTCTATCCAAAAGTTTCCTGGAGCATATCCATAGGACCATGGCATTGTTACTTCTGGTCAACCTTCTTTGTGTCCGCTGTTGTAACAAATTATCAGTCTAATTTTTGTTGTTGTTGCAGGTGGAATGTCTAGTGTCATGGGGAGAGGACTACCAGAGAAAATACAGATTCAAGACCAAGAAGATCTTTGAGAAACTTGTCAAAAAGTTTGGGTATGAATTCACCTTGTACCTAATTATCTCTCTCAATGGATTTAGATAGCAAATTCAAGTACATATTGACATGTGACAACCCATGTATAGGACCCATGTCATATAGGACAAATTTTTTTCAAAACGCATACATGTTTGTTAATGCTAGAAACTCCACCAATGATTATGAAAGCATATATTCTCATCTCATGCCACAGTCTTCTACAAAGTAGATTAGTCTCATACATACATAGTATGTTAGTTGTGATATTATATTTAATATATAGATGTGATTTTTAGATGCCATATACCATACCTTCTTCTGCAATAACACAACATGTAACATTCTGTAGATATGAGATGATAGCCGGCATGGTTCCTGACTCCCATCAGAAGGTTCTGGTGAACATCAGAAAGACTATGGCCAGGAGTAAGAAGAAGAAACAGCTGAAGGAGGCTGCAGAGCATGACGAGGATGAAGATGATGAGGAACTCATGCCTAAAAAGGCTCCTCAAAGGTTTGCTTTCTTATTGATATTCTGTCATGCATGCATGCAGCTCATAAAGAAGCTTTTAGCTTTTCCTCGTCTTTCATCAGCTCTGTGTTTCTCCTTTGTTTGATGTTAGTATGCTGCAGTGAGTAGGAGATAAGCATTAGTCTATTTATGGATCACTATAGTTTGAGTTTGATTCATGATCAGATTAAAGATTTAATCTTTATCACACTGGAACAGCCTTTTGGCTACCAAATCTCTATTGGTTACAGAATTAGGCAACAGAGAGAAGGTTAAAAATACCTCCTTGATCAGAATTACAAGCATGGGGTTCTTCTTTTGTATATCTTTTGTATTCAGATCATTGATGGACTACTTTCATTGAATATTTTAGAGGAAGCTCCCCAGTGTCTCGTGCATTATATATCATATTACGTAATGCCTAACCTTAATTGTAATGCCCTTGTAAACTGCCCCATCTGCACCATTATGTGCATTTATATAGCATATTAATTTTACCTAATGTTGATGATAAGCCCAAATTTTACCAAATGTTGATGATAAGCCTACAGGTCACTTACGATTGAAGTTATGAGAGAAGAGGGAAGGGCAGACAAAAGATGCAGATTTCTTGATTAAAGTGGCAAAATAGATTCTATAAAATTCAATGGTAAAGTTATACAAATTGTATTTGAAAAAACACATAAGAGAGTGAAAGTTGGCATATGGTCTGTGTCTGTTAGTTCTGGTTATTTCTGTTATTGTAAGAGTCTCTTAAAAAAAGTTAGAAAAGGGTACGTGCATCTGTTGGGTGGTAGCCTGTATCAGACAGTAGGTGTAGAATAATAGTTTTCTTCAGAAAAATCAGAATTGCTTTAAATTTGTTGTAACGCTGTTAACACATTTGTCTAATACCGTAGTCTTGATGACCTGCTGGAAGAACTGGACTCTGACCTGGAAGAAGAGGCTGCTGGGAAGGCTGGAAAGAGAGGTCAGAGGTCTGGTGGGCGTGTCCAGGGCGGGGCAGCTTGGCTTCAGGAGGGCCAGGAGGAAGAACCACTGGACTTTTTGGACCCTCGGGCCTCAAAGAGAATAATAGGTGAAGACATTATTATTTTTTTCTTAATTTTCCAGTGTGTCGCATAAGTTGAGCAAATGTCTAAATTCAACGAAATCGTTTATTATCTCTAGTTTTGTTTTCTATATGTTTTCCTGTTTGCTTTTGTTCCTTTAGTTACAAAAATGTATTTGAATACAATTGAGTCAAAGAAAGTCAAGGGAGAAATGGTGTGATGGCAGACTGACAGAAAGGTGGAATTGGAGATCAGGTGGAATGGTTTTCTTGCAGGCTGCGAGGAAGTGAGGAAGAGCCATTCAGGACAGAATCAGCAAAAAAATCACACATACAGCAGCTTGATAGGTGGTCATGTGAAATCTTCAATTCCTTGTTTTTGTCCTCAGCCACAAACCCAGGTGCCAAGGGAGGAAAAGAAGGGGGAGGGTCAGGGTCAGGGTTCAAGATGGCGGCTGATGGGAGGATCATCATCACTGAGGAGGAGGAGGAGGAGGAGCAAGGGAAGGAAGGAAAGAAGAAACAAAAGAGGAGTAAGTGTTACCGTAATGGTGTAGTCAAAACTGCATATTTTTTGTGTCATTGGGAAAAATTTATGTAAGGGACACCAAAAAGTGGTCACAATGGCCTGGTGGTCATTTTGTAGAGCTGGTCACTAGTACAGGTTTGTCACATGGGGACACTTTGAAAGAACTTTGAGGAAATTTCATCAGAGTTTGTGGCCTGTTAAAAAGAAGTGGTAAAGTTTCCCTCTTCTACTGCTACATGTACTCTGGTAATCTGAGTTAAATGTCAGCTAAGTTGGTGTAATGAAGTGGATGAATGAATCCTGAGTTTGATGTCTTATGGAATAGAAGAGGTATCACAAATTAGACTAATCAAAAGCTGTCTGCTCACGCTATCCCAGAGTCATTGTGGTCAGGTCAGGTCTAATCAGTTAGTGGAGCACTGGACCATTTAGGAAATAATTAGACAGGGTTACCAGTGAGTAATCATGCAAGTAGCCAACACATCACGAAGCTTTTAGTCCATCAAGTCACCTCGTCAATGACCTTTCAGACAAATTTGTTGATTTCTAGAATTTTGCAGAAAGCAGTTAAAATTTGCCCAAGAGTCAAGTGTATTTTTGTTTTGGCATGAAAATCTGTTAACCTGGAGGGGACTGCTAAGGATTGCATGCTTGACACAGAAGTCTGTAATCTTCTATTTTCTGGCTTTTTTTGCAGAATCTCATGATGATGATGATGATGATGAGATGGAGGATCTGATGGAGGATGTCCCAGGACTGAAGACAGGCAAAAGGAAACATGGAGACTTGGAGGACTCAGATGAGGAGGACCAGTCTCCACGGAAATACAAAGGTACAGCTAAGGCTATTAGTGTTACAGGTACCACTTCCTTTAATGTCAGCTAGAGCCTAAAAGACATGTGTGGTCAGACATTTTGTTTGTCTCAGTGGCCATGCATGCATAATAGGAACTGCTTTTTTTGGGGGGTGGGTACCAAACAGTCTAGGAATTACCTCCATGAACTGACCTCAATCAGTCTGCCAAGTTCAAATGTTGAAAACATGATGCCCAATGGGTAATCAGGCAGTATTTATCTGTTAGGCAAGACAATGAAGGAGAAGCTCTAATGGCTTAGTGACGTCAGCAGGATACCATAGTTCAGGGAACCGGCTTTCCCATCTGAACTGGAATTAAGGAAAACACAGTGGCCAGCCAGGCAGACGTAATGGAGGAAGAGAGGTGAAAACTGATGTTTAGTGCATCAAAGGATTGATTCTGTATAGAAACCTGACTTACCTAGCTTGTGTTAGACAATCCCTGAGAGCTTGTAGCCATACACCTCTAACTTAAGATTACCATTCCTACTTGTAGAGCCTTTGAGCAAACACACAAAGTTTTCCCCTAGCTTTGCCATAAATCATGATTAATGTATGCTTCCCTAGCGCAGGGCATGGTACGTTTCTTGATCGACTTTTGTATGTAGAGATTTCTTCCAGTAATCCTGAAGAGCTCCATTCAAGCCACACACCGAATCTATCATGACGCACGCAGCAATTTTAGGAAGGATGAGAAGGAGAATAGCAGTGCTCATGATCCATTCTTCAGGAATTGCAAGTGAATTAAGGAAGATGGATTGTAGTGATGGTTGAAAGAGTAGGTGAGATTAAAGGGCAATCCGTAGCTAAGGCCTCCATTAAGGGTGACTAGAGCCAATCTTGATTTTAATGCTAATCTGGACTTGATGTCAGTCCTGATTTGACTGCAATCTTGAGGCTATACGTACCTTTAAGGTGTCCTTGACTCAAAGCCAATCCTGTTAACATGGAAATTGAAGGATCAACCCGCACTGAAAGAAACAACAACATGCATTGATAATTCTATCACTGAGTGAGGACAAACTTTATTATCAGACTTAAAATATCATGATGTAAATAAGTTTTCCATGATGCATTCTTTCAGATATAATCATGTTTCTATATTTCCCTTTTTAGCTGGAGGAAAAGGCATCCACAGGCCACTCAAGCAGGCAGGAGGAAGTTTTGGGGAGGACTACAGGGCCAAGGTAGGGCTGCAGTTATACATACATACATGTACAGTAGTTTATTCCAATTTCTACATTTAGCTAATATGTGGCATTGACATGATGTAGTACAGTAAGCCACAGTGACGAATTCTAATGACATACTCAGGTCCCTCACACACTCTCTCCTTAGACCTTACCTTAGATATAGTTCCTACTGTGTCTCAGGCACATTGGGCACCAAGTTTACATGACTGTATCTGTCACTCACTATCTGGGTTATCATCTGCTGTTCCCAGGGTTAGACATGCCTGCATGTAGCTGTGAACACTTGATAGCATACCACCAGGTGCCTGCCATGTCACTAACTTATACACTTTGACACCATAGTACTTATTTTAACTTTGGTACAAGTAATGTCATGATGTTGGATTTTGCAGAAAGCTGGTGGTGACATCAAGAAGAAAGGACAGCCAGACCCATATGCCTATGTGCAACTCAACCCACAGTATCTCAACAAAAGGTAAGACAATCCTTCCTGCTGCTTACAAATATATACTGTAAATCTTTAAGCTTTTGTGGTGTGGGTATTTTGACCTTTCTAATAAAAATTAATGACACCACAAATATCCATTTCTCATGTATCACTACTGTACTACAGAATTGTTTCTATCACAAATTTAAAACATCACCAAACATAGAAATGAGCTGTTAATAGGTTTATAGTCATTCTTTTTTGGTAAAATGAATCAAGTTTGTCCTAGTCAATTCTAGATCTAATGTTGTGTTGTTGTCTTAGCAGGTCTTGTGAAACAGCTCAATTTTTTTTCCTGTTCTCAACCTCTTTTGTGACTTCAGACAGCCACTGTACATGTGTTTGTTTTTATTCTGCTAGACGTGGTACCTTTAATTATAACCTTTTCCCTGCTGCCTAATCCCATAACCAATAGAGAATTGACAGCTGCTTCAGTGTGCTCAAGGTTAAGATTTAACGCTATAATCCCTTGGAGTAAAACATCCCTGGAGCTGACTTTGTTTTGTATTCCCATCAGGAAGCGTCAGAAGAGACAAGGTCAGTTCAAGGGCATGGTGCGTGCTGCACAGAGGGGAGCTGAGAAGGGGGGGAAGGCACAGAACACCATGAGGAGGAAAATGAAAACAAACAAGAAGCACAAAAAGTGATCATATTAGATAAGAAATCCATAATTCTTTGAGAAATGTTATTTACCGGGGGTATAAGAATTGTTTTATGTTCTTGCAATTGTCTCAACATTACAGATTTGCACTGTAGCTTCTCATTGCTTTTGGTTACACAGGTTCTGTTATGATTACAAGAGTAACATATGTATAGTATATATACAAATGAAATCCCACCATCACATTGTTGACAAGAGTTTCAGATGTGTGGTCATGAAAGCAGAAATTGGTGAAATGTGACATGAGCAATGTTGTTATGTATTAATTTTTTTGGAAAACTTAGGGTTATATATTTTCTACTTAAACTTTTAAGTTTACAATCAAGAGGTGCTGTAGAATCTTGAAGTATGATTTGGTTTTATTTTTGCAGTAACCATTCCACTGCAAAGTCTTAAGATATTCTACAAGTTCTGCCAACATTTCCTGTGTGTTTGGCAACACCCTGCATGAACAGTCATTGCACTTAATGAAGAAGATCCCTACTGCTTAGTTCATGGAAAAGGCAATAGTCTATACATATTATTACAGCTGTTCATCAATGTTTCAAATGAGATTTCTGGGTGTTACAATATATCACAGCTATTTGTCAATGTTTTTGATGACCTTATGGTTCACAGGGTCATCATTTGGAGGACATTACATGTAAGTCATGTACATGTACATGATGAAAAGAGCAGGAATTTCCCTGGTACATTGAACCTGTAAAATACTGTACCTAGTGCCTGTTTTCTTTGTCACAACCAGTGGAAGAGAAGCTCAACTCACAACTGTTTAATTTTGTTTGATTTATTTGGCTGTGTGAAAAAAGGCTACCAACCAAGGCTATTACAAAGGATTAGCCTTGGTTGCAAGGAATATCAACTGTTTATTGAGTTAAGTTGAGGTAAAGTGGTTCAAGGTCATTTTCCTGATTGATCCTGTAGTGTCCTCTGGGTACCACCTGTAGCATGATGGCACCATGCTCTTTATCTCATCACCAGTAGTTACACGTAATTATTGTTGGCGCCTAAGCTTGTTGGCGTCATGAGGACTCAACTTGTCAGCAGTGACCTTGAATTCATCCTGTTGTTCGTACAAAGGCTGACTTTCTTGATCCTCAAGAACTTGATCATTGAGCAACCAACTTGTGAGCTTTGACAGGAATGGTTGTGCAGAGTAGCAATCTTTGCTGTGGCGTGTCGGAGCTAGTAACTGTCTAGTTCATCGATGCCGGCTATTGTAGCCTCAGTGAATGCTACTATACCTATGATCATCAAAAGACAACATAATCATGAACTTCTTCATTTCTTACATATTTATTTATTTATTTCATCTTAAGATGGCTGGGTAACCCCATTCAGCTATACTTACCCATTCAGCCATATTTACCCGGGTAGTTATTGAGTGACCATCTGTACGTGAAGCCAAGTCTGTTTCATAGCTTCAATTGAGGACCAAGAGGAGTCGTGAGTGGGTACGTAGCTAGCAGTGAGTTGGAATTATTAGAGGAAGCGGAAGCGGATGACAGAATCTGCTGGTTATGTAATGTCATCTGTTTAATTAATGCGGAGGAAATTGGGTTTCACAAATCCGGCTACGCGTGGCGAATCCCAAATTCGATGGTCTTGCAATAATCAATGGCAGACCCCCACTGATGGTGGAGATTAGAGTGGCAGACTGAATCAGTGGGGAAGGTCAATGTCATTTAAAGTTTCTACAGAAGGGACTAGCTTTAAAATGAAAGGCTGAATGTCAAAATGAGTACGACTCCGACAGGGTGCCTCGGTAGAATTGGATTTAGCAAAACACGATTTGGTAGGATTGCAAACCTATGTCCAAAGGTAAACCTATGTCTAAATGTAATGTACCACACAGATACAATAACGTAATAATGTCCACAAATGATCTTGTCTACAGATTTACCTGCTATTTCTACATACAGTACTATTGGGGGTACTTCTTTTGAGGGGAGGCGGTAGTATATAATGAATAGTCCAATGTTTTAAGGATAAGTGGGTTTTTTGGTCTTCTAGATGATGGGGGTTGTGGGATATTTGAGACGTGACTTATGAGATATCAATACAATCTTTTAGATGTGTGCAAGAGAGGCCTCAATTCACCAAACAGTCAAACTTCAACATGTAAACTCGTGGGAACAAGTAGCACTTGATCGCTCAAGCTGGAGGCACGCTGTCAAAGCTGGGACCCAACTCGGAGACCAACGGCAACAGAACCGTCTACGCCATTATATCTACTCGCACATCAAGTGGTATGTCCTGCCACTCAGAAATAGACAGCCACCAAAGAAGATGCTGGGACCGACCATAACAAACCTTCGACTGAACGATAACGATGACGTAACATATAGATATGTGGGGTCTATTTTCAAGGCTAGAAGATTTGTCAATAAGGCATTTCAAGGCTTGCGGATTTGCCTATAAGACATTTGTCAAGGCTTGAGGATTTGCCTATAAGACATTGGTCAAGGTCAAGGCGTGACAATTTGTATGTAAGACTTCTCAATGTTAGAAGATTTGCCTTGAAACAATTGAAAATACTTGTGTCCTTCAAGTGGCCATGGCCGCAACCTTTAAGTCATCCTTGTGGGAAAAAAATCAATTTCCTCACCGTAAGTGACAGTTCAAAATCCACCATGAGGATAAACTCGTAATGCCAGATGAAGCGGAGTGACAGCCTGTACGGTAGATTACGGAATACATAATCACCAGGGGAGGACAACACATTCACGTTACGGTGCGGTCACGTCCCTTCAGGACGTCACACATACCGGCTGTGCAAGACGGCGGCTGAAAACCCGTTTCAGAAAACCAATTTTGAAAGACCAATTTAAAGTTGATTGAATGAGCCAAATTTCACCCGATGTTCATTCAGTCCTCACGGGAAGTTTAAAATCTTTCATCTTGGAGTGACCGAAATAATGCAAGACCGTTTGTCTTTTAAAGTTTAGAAAGTTTATTGCAAATATTGTCGCAAATACTTCCCCGAGGGCTAATTGCAGTTACAAACAACATAAGAAAGAAAATACAGTGGTATGTGAGACTATATCTACGTCTAGCATTATACTATATTCTACAACATACATGGTACTAGTTTTAAATTAATATCTAATATCAACTCTCATAATTCCAGTAGGTACCCAAAGAGCACCGCAATGAATAAACTAATGTAGACGAGGCCTCCACAAGAATGCCTTGTACACCTGGATATCTGAAGTTAAGTGTGCATACCTCGGGGATTACTGATGTTGCACTTAGTAGACCTCTGTAATTCTGTGTTTATGCATGTGGCGGTCGAGGCGTGCCTGGTGGAATCATGAGAGTTCGCCTTGTATTACTTTGTGACAGGTTGAATAAACGTTCTCAACGGGAGCTATGCAGCCCCAGATAATTATAACAATGATGCAATGAGGACAGGATCTGTACATGTCATGAGATGTATGGGGCTATCACTGGAGATAAGGATGGCTAATAAGATCATTTTTCATATGTTGCTGGAAATCGCCACATCTGCCGTAGTTCCCCCAAGTTAAAGCAATTGACGTAATTTGGGCTTCAGATGCTTTGACACAGCAATAAATCGTGCTCTTAGGATCAGATGAAGGGGTATTGCTGTCAGACATCTTGCTTTTCCTAGTTTGAGGGCAAGGCTAGTTCGGAGAGTTCAAGCAATTGACGTATATTTGGGTTTAGGCCCTAGGACGCAGCAATACATCGTGGCCTTAGGCCTAGGAAAATGGTGTGCAGACTTTTTTTTGGGGGGGGGGCTAGCCTTTTTAGGGGTTTGACTGTTCGCAAGGTACACATGACATCTGAATTTCACCCCCCCCCCATTTGACGAATTTTCAAAAGAAAATATTTGCCCCATCCTCACAGGCAAACGGAGGAACAGGAGACAGCCTGTCCATGACGCATTTGAGTTTTACATTGTTAAACTATTTCTTGGATCACTTCAACCGAAATCTACAAGAGAGAGGGAGATAACTCGTTCCTACTGATCACAAGTTTCAGGACTGAAACCGGAGATACAACATTAATTTTTCTAGACATTAATGTCAGATGAAGAGGTACTGCTGGCAGGCGTCAGCCTTTCCCAGTGTGAGGGCAAGGTAAAACGTGCCCCCATTAGGATTCTCAAAGACTTGATAAATGACAACAATTCGATTCGGTCTCCCACTGGATAAGAAACCCCGAAGAGTTAAAGTCAGATACAGCAGGTACTAACACTGCTGCAGAATCATAATCTCCCACAGGGCAAAGGTTTTCTGTGTCCCGCTGTCTCTACTTTTAATCTCATCACAAAACATCAAACAACATAAGTACCAGTAGACAAAGTAGTGAAGGACTCAAGTTGTGCAACGTATATCCACGCCGCCACTTGGAGAGTATACAAATGTACAAAACAATCGATCATTTCAATTATAACCGGTACAAAAACTGTCGTTTAAACGAAAGATTAGATTCCCACCCAAAGAGCCTATACGATATGGCTAAAACGTTCTGTTGCCATTATGTAATCTAATTAAGCCCGCTTTTAAAATTGATTCCTTTGTTAATTGATCCGACTTCATTTTGTTGCCATTATGTAATTAAATGTCTCTCTCTTTAACAACAATTTGTAGTCGTAATCCTGTACTGTGATTTACAGATTTGAGTTATATCTTCATCATGGAAAATTAATTCTGTGAGATGAATATTTTGTACCGTAAACCGTTACTTATAATATATTAGCACGGCTGGTGCTTAATTGGATCATTTTCAGCTCTGTTGCACTGATCAAGACGTATTTTACGTAGTTATGGTGTTATTGTAAGTACTTAAGCCAGCCCGTCTGGCTCTGGTTATTCGTCAAAGGTTCTTTAATAGCTGCATTAAAGCTCACGTTGAAACGTTCGGCGCCGATCTGTCATGATTGACCAGGGAAGCCGATTAAGATGACAAGTCGGTCTTGTGGTTAGGTTTGTTGACTTTGAATCTGGGTTTGAGTCTTTAGCAGGAGAAATGTTTCCAGGTTGTATTCAGGTTTTCATGTGGTCTTCATTTTCATGTGATGGCAGGTACGTTATGGAGATTTGGAAGCTGTTGGGTCTGTTAACATAGATATATATATTCATATATTTATTGGTTTGGTTGGTTGGTGTACATAGCACCCAAAGTTGGCCAACCTGCGAGTAGCTGTTGTTAAGAACGAATCCACTACCTCCGCCTGCTGACAAAACAGGGCATGAGTGTGCAAGATCTCGTCCAGGTGTACCTGAGTCTCATCCGCCCTGTCCTGGAGTATGGGCACGTTCTGTTGGTCGGTTGTAGTGAGGAGCAGGCAGCGAGCATGGAGAGAGTTCAAAGGCGCGCCCTCCGGATTATCTCACGCGGCGGCAGACGTTCCGAACCGACACTGCCGTCCCTGAAGGAGAGGAGAGAGGCCGCTGCTGTGTCTCTCTTCAAGGCCATGCTGAATCCTGAACACCCCCTGCACGACCTGGTTCCTGCCCAGAGACAGTCTGTCACAGGAAGATCGCTGAGGAACAGTCACAACATCACTGTTCCCCATGCAAGAACCAAACGGCTGCAACAGTCGTTCCTGCACCACACCATTAGACTCTACAATAACCTACCTTGAACCTACATTGGAACTTGTATAGCCTGACCAAGCAACTTTGTGCATATCTGTTGTAAATAATTTTATATGTGTCTTTTTTATATATGTTAGTTTAGATGTATTATTTTTCAATGTGAACGTTGTTTTTTTTAAATAATGTGACAAATTGTTCGCTTCTGCTCCCCCTGCTGTTGTACATTTGTAAAATGATGAGCAATAAATAAATTTCAAATTTCAAAGGAATCATAGCGACCATAGATCGATATAAAGATAGACCCTGTGTTTGCCGATGATGTATTCTATGGCAGTTGCTGGCATCCTTCCCAGAAAACGCATGGAGACAACAACATTACCTGGTACGTGCATGTGCATGTGTCAGTTCCTATGGTCTCAGGTCGACAGTCTACCAAGCAGTTGTGACAGCATACTTAACAGTACATGCACCGCGGGGATCCTAAACTTCGACAGAAACTAGTTTGTCTATTGATGAAACATTGTCCTGAAGTAAGCTACCGTCCCTATGTACAGAAAAGTGTCCTGGTTAGCTAGCTTACCCTCGTACAGTGTTTAACACGACAGTCGTCCAGCCGCGTTTGGTAGTTTCAAAGGAAACGCCATTTTTAGATATTGCACCAAAAACAAGAGCCTGAACACGCTAAAGGAAATCTACAACACTTATTGAAAAGGGCAATGGTCCTTCCCGGTGTGACTGGATCAAACCATCCGGCATACAAAATGGATAGGAAATGTTAAAGAACCCACCACACTCTAGAAATAGTAAGGGGCCCTTCCCGATGTGAGTGGATCAAAACCACAAATCCCGGTGTAAACGGGAATGTTCCCATTCTGGCAGTTATCCTCACTCCAGTGAGTCGAGCTTGTCTCGAACGTTGATGTTTCGACCGTCGCTTCCATTTTATGACAATGCGCAAGCATGCACAGCAGATAAATGGGGCATTGAATAAAGAGCACGCACAGGTCACTGATGATATTTCTCCATTGGACTCGTCTCTGGGCCTTCCTACCCAGGTCGTGTTGCTGATACTCCTCACCTCCTCTTCCGTGTACCTTCTCTAACTGTTTTAAAACTTCTTTTTTCGTCACCTATCACAGTAAATCATTTTTGTCTGCTGACATTAGCGCCGCTTATAAACCAGAAAGACTTTACAGTTGATATCTTTTACACACGGTAATATGATATGCACAACTGCGGGCACGTCTTGTATTCTTGAAGCAGGTTTTGGCATTCCAGTAGTGGACATAGTCCTTGCAAAAAATAGATAGCAACCTTGAAAGGATATCCATACTATTCCATGCCATGATTTATCCTCTACTGCGTTGTGTGAAATAGGGATTGATACAAGGAATTAAAGGCCAAGGATAGGTCAGGGTTATTCTATCCGATTGCATCCGCATGCGTTCCAATGGCTGAAATTCTTGAGAATAATCGGTATATAGATCTACACGCATACTACTGAACGTGTACTCATAAAGCCGGAAATAAATCTTAAAGGCCCACTGATGATCATTTTAAAAAGGCATACAAATATACAAGGCTAGGACAGGGGTCAATGGCTAACATATCTCCGGAAACTACATCATCATGCAAGGCCAGCGATTCCGGGAATTCAACATTCTAAATAACACACCAAATAAGGGCATCATTTGACGTCACCACCATGCAATGCAAGCTGCAACAAAGTAACTTCACGCCAATTTCCGGGAATTTAACACCAAATAAGGAATTCAACACACATATCATTTGGCGTTGAACTTGTCCGCCTCCCTTCATTGGATACTAACTCCACTAATTGATTTCCACTGATCCTTATTGACTCCACCATGCTCTGAAATAGTTTTGTTCGTTCGGACTCACAAGCCGGAAATCCTGTTTCTTGTTTTACTTTGAGGTTACCCACGGCTTGTCGACGTTCCAACTGCTTCTGCGATTTCGGACAAGTTTATGGACATAAATAGCATTGCCGCATATGCGTGGCAATCTTTAACGTAACTCCAATGTCTCCATACCATGCGCCGTATTTTCCCAGATCCTACCAACCACATTTTGGGAAACCCCGAATCCACCCGACGTGGCGACAGATACATTGTCATAAAGAGCAGTTAACATTCATTTGGAGATTCAAATTATAGGAACATCTGAAGCCCAATCAAATTACAAGTGGGTTACGTTGTACCTGTAACTGGTGGAAGCTAACATTGTTTGAGCCGACGTTGCGTCTGCGAGTTTCCAGAGTTCCATCAGATTGTGAATTGGAATTCTCCGTGAATGCGACATGTGTCCGAATTTCACCAATCAAGGTCAATATGAAGCTGCCCAGGAAGCAGGAAGCCCTAAACTGGCACAGTACTGGAACGACACAAGATAATGATGATGATGAACTGTGGACGTTTGTTAAAATCCTTGCCTTGCCGCGGGGTCAGTCTTCAACATTACTCCAAAGAACACACTTTATTTCCCAACAACACGTTTTATCAAGAGAAAATCACAGTCAGCCCCGGTGAAGGACATCAATATATATTGTCACAATCACAAACAAGTAGTTACATTGTACATTAGCATTCTTATCTCATTTGGAGGGTACAAAATTGTATGAAGCCTAACCAAATGCTGACTACTATAGTGGCTTACGCTCAATGTACCAATATGCCTGTAAGAGTGTACATTCAAAGAAACGAAGAAGTACTTGTGTTTCACAGAAATTCAAATGTCTTCAATACATCACAAATAACGTTACACGTATTTTGGCAGCCATTGTGATTTTACCTATCTTATGGAACTTGAACTCAACGGACACAAACGATAATATGTTTGACAAATGGCACTTATGCAGGGTCAGGTACAGCCACTGGTGGCACATTGCTTAATAGATTGATACAGTTTTATAGAAAACTTTATTGTATAATATCTGTACAAGGTACAACGACGCTAAACGTATGACACCTTCTGCTACATATCAACATACTATGAGACCAATTCACCATACAAAGACTATATTGTGTGGGATATAGCTGAGGTTTGGAAGTATTCACAAGTAGTTACTCAATAGACAGTTTCCTGTTTCACACTACGGTAGTTCATCACGATTAAAAAAAAAGATGATTACATTGCTGCTATATATACACGTCATAACACATAACATTTAACATACATGGGATAAGATATAATGACACTGATAAAACGTTCAGATCAGTAGTGTACTACAAGGTATAGTATAGAGGTACAAGGCTACAGTACGTACATTCAAGACTGGCTGTTCCTTCTAAATCTGATCAAGGAGGTTAACCTACTTGCTCTGATTCAGACACCTCTCCGTGCGGAATGACCCTGTAGTGTAGAAGAACGTATCAGGTCTATAACATATCAGGGCACTGCAAGGAAATATTGATTGCTACACACCACATCCACCGGAGGCTGTGACTGCTGAGAGACCTGATGTCTACTAATCGCTCAAAGAATTTCCTACTTTAAGAACGATTTGTTTCACAGACTGTGTGTTTTGTCTTTTAAATCATACTTGTGCGTCATACTTCAACAATAAAATCAAGTGTCATGCAAATACAATTTTGGTCACTCAACGGTCGCTCCGCAGTCTAGTGCTAGTGGAAGGGGCCTTACGTGACTATGCTGTTTTCTGAAGTTGTTTGAATATTCAGTATTGATAGTCAATGTGTAGGTAATAAGTTTTCGTCTCAGCGGAAGCGCCAGCAGGTCGACTTCTACTGAAGCAAATGAATTTCTGGAAATTATCTTGGGCTTTAGGTTTTTCTCATTGTCTCCGTGGTGCCAGCCAACTGAATGTCAGACGGTGCTAGCCAAACGTAGCCACTGATTCGCTTAATTTGGCACATGTTCCATGTAAGACATCACGAATTTAGCGCGGCGCGCATCCAGGCAAGCGGGGTCCTCGCGCCCACTTCCCGATCGTATTCGCCATGCCTGCCCGGTGTCACTGCGCCCAGTGCGTACCAGTGCGCCCAGTGCGTACGAGTGCGTACCAGTGCGCCCATTGCGTACCAGTGCGCCCAGTGCGTACCAGTACGTACCATAGTCATAGAATGTGAAATATCACAAGAACACCCGTCACCCAAATCACGAAATCGCCAGGACACTTAACCAAAGTTTCGGGGCGTAGCGATTGTGTAAGCCATCACGAAACCGCCGGCAAATGCACTTGGGTACACGGCGCCAGCGTTGACACAACCCGACACGACAGCGTCCGAGCGTGCGGCAGACACTGTGCGACGCATCACGACCGACAACGCATCACGAATTTGC